CTGAGAACTGGTCTACAGAATGGGCCGTGGGAGGCAGGAGGCGTGGAGCCCCCCAGCCAAATGGCAGAGGGAATGGCGACTGGGGGAACCCTATCGTGAACAATATCATGAACTGCAGTGTCTCAAATTTAAATGGAAAAGGAGAAAAAAACTGGTTGAGATGAATTTTTTTTAAAAAAAAATAGGAGCAAAGAATTAAAATAGATTTTTAAAAAATTTAAATTGGCTAACTGTAGCACTGTCCTCCTGTTGTTCATGATTTGCTTGAGCAGGCACCAGTAATGTCTCCATTGTGAGACTTGTTGTTACTGCTTTTGGCATATCGAATACACCACGGGGAGCTTGCCAGGCTCTGCCGTGCCGGCAGGATACTCTCGGTAGCTTGCAGGGCTCTCTGAGAGGGATGGAGGACTCGAACCTGGGTCTTCCGCGTGCAAAGCAAATGCCCTACCTGCTGTGCTATGCCAAAATTGGCTAGCAAGCATAAGAAAAGAAACTAATGTCATTAATCATTAGGGAAATGCAGATCAAAACCGCAATGCCCTGTCACTAGGTTGGCCTTATTTTGTTTCTGGTGAGGAGTCCCCAGGCCCAGGCAGCTGGGAGGCCACCCTGGCCACCCTCAGACAAACCATGTGCCCCCGTGAGGCCTGAAGATGTGGTGCTGGCTGTCTGAGCGTGCCAGGATAGTCCAGGGGTGCTTAGGTCCCCAGGCTGTGTCCCTGTGTAGCCCATGACCATACCTCCTGGATGGTATCAGGGCACCAAGCTGTGTGAGACAGAGCATTACCCCCTCCACTGTCTGTCCAGCCCCCGGCCAGAGTTTTCTTAAGAAACATAAAAATAACAAGTGGGCTGTGGAGAAACTGAAATCCTTACATGGTCGTTGGTAGGAATGTAAAATGATACTAATGTTTTGGAAGAAAAAAATTTAGCAGTTAAACAGAGAGCTAGCATAGGACCCACGAATTCCTAAAAATAGATGTATTTTTACATGTATATGCGTATACATGTATTTTCCTAAAAGCAGGACCCAAACATGAAAACAGAATTCAGATACTCACATACAAATGTTCATAATACTAGGAACATTCACTATACACAGGTGAGAAAGTGAGCTAGTACAGCAGGTAGGGCATTTGCTCTGCACTGGATCTTTGGTCTTCCATACGATGCCTTGAACTCATCAGGAGTGATCCCTGAGCACAGAGCTGAGAGTAAACCCTGAGCGAAGTCACATGTGGCCTCAAACCAAGCAGTTGGACAGTACAGGGGTGAAGGCACGTTGCACTGCATGAGCCAGACTCAGCTTGAGCACCGGCTTTGCCAGGAGTGATCCCTGAGCAAAATGAGGAGAAATCACTGGGCACTGCCGGAGGGTTATCCAATGACCTCTCCACCCTCAGCCACCAAAAAGAGTTCTAATCACATTCTAGTATCTTCATTTTGGCCAGAGAGATCATACGGGGATTGACTCGTCTTGCACACAGCTGACCCCAGACCACACATGGTTCCCCAAGCACTGCCAGAAGTGATCCCTGAGCACAGAGCCAGGAGTAAGTCCCGAGTACGGCTGGGTGCGGCCCCCAAACCAAAACAATTTGGAGACACATTCTACAGACACCAAGTCGTCACAGAGAAAGGACAGGATGAGGGGCCCTGGGTCAGAAGTTCTGCCTGCCCTAAGAAAGCCATGCCCAAGCATTTGCGAGCACGAGCTGATAACCCCATTCAACTCACCTTTCGAGGCCTCGCAAAAACTCCACGGAAAAACTCTTTGAAGGCTGATAGTGTTGATTATGCTGTGGTGAACATACTGTACATTAAGTGATGGTTCTGTGGTAAATTGTAGGCAAGTATTTTTTAGACGGCCAAACCTAGGGTAGGAAGAAGCTCACAGCCCGGTCCTTGGGCTGATGGCTCAGTGCTCAGAACCAGTGATGCTGCTGGTTGTTTGGGGGTCACCAGGAGAGGTCGAGGCACTATGCTCTGCAAGGGATTCAACTCAGGACCCCCCACACACAAGGCAGGTGAGACCTTCCACTTTAGTTATCCTCCAAACCGGCCACAAATCTTACAATACAAAGCTATATGGTGACACAAAACAACTGACGGACTTAATCGTATTTTGGATGCATTTAGTATATTTTTGGGCTTGGGGCTACACCCAGCAGTGTCCAGGTCACTGTCAGCAGTGCATAGGGGATCGTGTAGTGCCAGGATTGGCCCCAGGCTGGCCACATGTAAGGCCGGCACTCTACACCTGTACTAGCACTTTGCCCCTGGACACACTTCTACAGCTTTGTTGAAATGTAGTTGATACAATGAAGGTCACTCTTTGAGGGGCAGATAGTACAGCAGGTCAGGGGCTTATCTTGCGTGCAGCAGACGTGGGTTTGATGCCCAGTATCCCCAAGCCCCACCAGGATGACAGGAGTATACAGCCAAAAGTGAGCTCAGAGCACTGCCAGGTGAGGTTCTAATCCCCAGATATACACCCAACAGCACACCCTTCTAAAGTGTACAATTCAGTTGTTTTTAATGTATGTTTTGGGCCAGAGAAATAATACAGCGGGTAAAGCTCTTGTCTTGCTCACATGCAGCTGACCCAGGTTTGATTCCTTTCATCCCATATGGTCTTGAGCACCACCAGGAGTAATTCCTGAGCACAGAGTCAGGAGTAAACTCTGAGTACTGCCAGATGTGGCCTACAAAAAGCTATATGTTGGTTACCACTATCTAGAACATTTTCACCACTCCAAAAAGAAACCCACCATCTATTAGCGATAACTTCTGACTCTCCTTACCCCAGTTGACAGATAGTTGTATTTTCTTTAGTTTTTGGTTCTTGAGGCTACATAGAGCAGTGCTCAGGAGACCATAACATGACAGAGATCAAACCAACGGTCTCCTACTTTAAAGCACGCGTCCAGCCCATTGAGCGCTCCGTGGCCCAGAGAATTTCCTTTTTCACTATTACAATAATGACACTTGCTATTGGAAGTATCAAGTGTATATATATATATATATATAGTGTCAATGAATGGACATCTATGTACGGGTTTTTGTGGGAACACTTAGGAAAAGAGGCAGGGTCATTTTCATCCAAGGGGGTCCCCTGCCACTAGGCTGTACCCCATTTCCCTCGGGTTCTTTCTTAACAGCAGCATTCCCACCTCTGGTGTATCAGGGTTTGTTTCTCCACCTGTTGGCCAACACTTGTGATTTGTCTTCCTTATTGTCATAGCAGAGCGGGTAGGGCGTTTGCCTTGCACAAAGCCGACCCGGGTTTAATTCCTCCGTCCCTCTGAGAGAGTCCAGCAAACTACCGAGAGTATCCCACCCACATGGCAGAGCTGGGCAAGCTCCCCGTGACGTATTTGATATGCCAAACACAGTAACAACAAGTCTCACAAAGGAGACATTACTGGTGCCTGCTCGAGCAAATCGATGAACAGGAGGACAGTGCTACAGTGCTATTGTCATAAAATCCTTGTCCATTTGAAATGATATCTCATGGCTTTGATTTGAAAAGCAGCAATATCTTTATCGGAAAAAAAAATCAGCTCACCCTCTGAGAGCTGGTACATGACCACAGATGGCCAATATATTTTGATGGGAGGGATCAGTGGGCCCAATGACAGTCCAGCAGAAAAGGGGCTTGCTCTACACACGGCCAACTGGGGTTGGACCCCTGGCACTATGTAGTGAGCCCTAAGGACCACCGGGTAAAAACCAACAAAAAGGGGAGAATCAAAATCAGTTCAATTTAGCTTGGTATTGCATCAGCATCTCATGCCTTGAATAGGAAAAGAATCATGTACTCCTGCCCACTGGCACAGGACCCGAAAGTCCATCTAGGAAGAAAACTCTGTCCTGCCCTGTCTTTGAATTGGACCACATGGCGTGTCTGACACCAACAGGAGTGGCCTTGCCAGGTGGACAGAAGCTGCAGTCCCACGCCTCCTATCTGTCTCCGTACCGTTCCACTGTGGCTGCTCCAGGCCAGCTCGGACATGACACGGTACCCAGCAGACATGTGGTACGGGGACTATGATCTACATAAATGAGCTCAGACATTAAAAAAAAAAATTGAATTACCCAGCCCTGGGGGAAGTTCAAGGGAACTGTTAAAGGGACCTGGGCTGAGGGTCCAGTTTGGTCAGAACACATGAATTAGGGTCCCCCCCCCATCCCCCAGAGCCACTGATCCAACCAAGACACACAATAATCCCTACTTTGTTCATTTCTGTATTGTTTACATTTATAAAGGAACAGGTGCTAATTCTGTTTTTCTTCACCTTCTTTTCAATATAAGGTAAAGGTAAAGGCCCTCCCGTTGATCGTCGATTTGCTCGAGCGGGCCTAGTAACGTCTCCATTGGAGACTTTGTTGTTACTGTGTCTGGCATATCGAATACTCTCGGTAGCTTGCCGGGCTCTCCGAGAGGGGCGGAGGAATCGAACTCGGGTCGGCCATGTTGGCCGCTTGTAAGGCGAACGCCCTACCCGCTGTGCTATCGCTCCAGCCCTTTTCAATATAGCTGAGACTAAGTTAAAATTTGCTCTTAATAAAAGAAAGCACTTTTAATGCATGTAATTATATTCATTTCCTTTCTTCTTTACAGGTTTTTGTTTATTTGTGGCCATACTCTACAAAGCTGTGGAACAGACCCAGAATTTAACCCAGGACTAACACATGTCAGCTCTACCGCCAGCCTATGTCCCCTCGACAATCACATTCTGATTCAATTCAAAAATTCCAAATTTATTCCTACAGGAAAGCGTCAAGGTTGAAAGACTATACTGTAGCATACTGAATTACAGATTATTTGAGAGGTATTCTTCCTGAAACAGCTAACTTGGCTCATCTCATTTATAAACTTAGCAATAGCATTTCTAGCTATTTTATAAACATTCAGCTCAAGATACTGTCTATGCTGCATTCCCAGAAAAGTTAACATAGACTAGGAAACAAATCACTTTTTAATACATTCAAGTTTATTTTTATTTTTGCTTTTTGGGTCACACCCAGCGATGCTCAGGGGTTACTTGTGGCTCTGCACACAGGAATTACACCTGGCAGTGCACAGAGGACCATATGGGATGCCAGGGATTGAACCCAGGTCGGCCACATGCAAGGCTGTACAATCGCTCGGGCCCAAGACATTCAAGTTTTTAGTTAAAGGGAAATCACAGATCATTTTCTGGAGAAAAGACACTACAAGTAAAATTACAATAAACATTAGAAATTAACAGTGCTGGTTTCAAAAATTACTAAAAATCATTATAATTTAGGTTTAAAAATGTACTAGAGAAAATTTTAGGTTATTACCAAAGTATATTTTCAAAGGAACATTAAGAAATTACAATTCAACTTCATGTAGCATTAACTTTTCTTCTCTTTTGAATCTGGCGCTGATTTCACGTTTTCTCTTAATTCCTTTTGATCTCTGAAATACTGTTCAAATATTGGTTGATAAATATATATTCCTCCAGCAATTCCAAGGATGCTGGCAAAAAGCAGTTGTGGAAACGTCAATCTCCCAAACATTTTCAACACAGCAAGGTGCCAACGTTGTCTGGAAAAATCACATGCCACGGTCAGGGTATCTCTTCAGATCTGCGCACAAGAAAATAGGGGAAAAAATAATAATTCAGCATGATCTCCTTTGACACATCCTGACTTCACTCAAGAATGAACAACGTTTCAGGGATAATATATAAATATCGCTGATATAATTATAACAGGACTACAAATATACAGGCAATATTGAAAATAGAGTTACTGGATGGGAGAAGACAAAAGTAAGTTCTCTTCTATTACAGAATAGTATCAGGGCAAAGTGAGGGGTATTGTGGAAGCAAATCCTATTTATGTTTATTGGGGGGGAGGGTTAGGTCATACCCACTGGTCCTGGCTCTGCACTAGAACCACTCCTGGCAAGGCTTAGGGGATCACCTAGGGTGCTAAGACTCAAACCCACCAGGGTCAACTGAGTGTAAGGCGAGTGCCCTATGGACTATTGCACTGACCCCCCCCCCTTCCATCTTTAAAGATACCCCATAAAGCCAGCTTCTGAAAAAGCTAACAACTAAAAATCACATGGAAGTAGGAATAGTTACTTTTCATAAAGAATCTTTCTTTACTATTTATTTCAAGCCTTCTGGAAACACGTTTGCTAAGAAAAATGAAAGGAACATGCAAAGATAAAACACTACAATGAAACACTGAATAAAATTCATTTGCTATTCATTTTTGACAAAAATAATGCAAAGGAGATACTGGCTGATTTGCTTTTATGTATTTTCTTTACTAGAACACTATTAGCCAGAAGGTGTGGCAGAACCCAGACTGAAACTAGCTTGCCCATAATAATGCTCAAATACAATCCAATGTGTTTTTCTGGATTCTGCAATGAGATAAATGACAAGTGAATCAAACAAGCTTTGGTTGAAAACCTGCCTGAAGTGATTCAAGGGAGCAGGGATGGGCAAAACACAAAAACATTGAGTAGAAAGGAAGTATGAGGGGGCTGGAGAGAAATTACAGCTGGCAGGACAGTTGCCTTGCGCTCAGTCAACTCGGATTCAGGGCACCTGGTTCCCTGAGTTGCCACCAGTGATCCCTGGGTAAGATCCCTGAGTAAGCAAGTAAGTTGCTAGAAGTAAGCCCTGAGCACTGTGGGGTGTGGCCCAAAAATAACAAAAAATAAGTAAGACAAACGATGTGTGCATCTATAGTCATTGTCTGAGTTCACTACCAGGGTACGGAAACAGTCCAAATATCCAACAGGTGAGAGGAGAGACAAGGTGTGAATGGAATACTCCGATGCAACGGGTCAGTGTCAGGTTAACTGAGTCAGAGGAGAAGCCCTGCTCCCCCTTCCCTTTGGAAGACAGGGAAATGGCTGAGATTAGGGGCTGGACCTGCCTGCCAAGGTCTCAGTGATTTGGGTGACAGAGAGGTACCAGGTTAGAAGGACATCAAATCCCTGAGTCAACGCTCACGTAAGCATGTGATCCAAGTCAGTTTTCCTTAAAACTGGGTTTGCTAAGGAGCAGGATGGAGGCTAGGGGAGGGGCCCTGGGACCATCGGTGGAGAGGCGGACACTGGTGACCATTTGTGGCTGGCCAGTTGATGCCCTGGATCTGTTGTTAAAGGCCTTACAGACCACGGTGCCTAAATAAGACATTCATTCAAGTCACGTCTACTGGATCCATAGCTGGAAACCAACTATGCAAGTGGCAAACCTGATTAAATATCTTCCCATGTACGATTGCTAATCTGAAAGGATTCCACCCCAAATGGTCACGTATAAATCTGATGCAACGTCTCGTGCTCGGTATCTCGGTTTCAACGAGTTCACACCGGGCTGTGCTGTGTGTGTCGCTGGCACCGCTCGGTTACTGATTTCCCGGGACACGCTGCTTAGATGCTTCTAGAAACTATTCCGGAGTCGAGTACAACATTCTTAAAGGGGTGGGGGAATGAGGTCGGGGTGCCAGGGAGGCAAGTCGGGGACTGGGAGCCCGGATCCTCGCGGTGGGCGTCACCGGGAGAGACCCCGGACACCCGGGGCGGACGGCGCCCCCCGAAGCAGGGGAGGCGCCGAGGCTGCCGGGGAAGACGCCCCCGAGCAAGGGGAGGCGTCGGGGCTGCAGGAGGAGGCGCCCCCGAACCAGGGGAGACGCCGGGGCTGCAAGGGGAGGCGCCCCCGAGCAAGGGGAGGCGTCGGGGGTGCGGGGGGAAAACGCCTGCGCCGGGTGACGCCGAGGGGCGCCCCGAAGCCTCAGCCCCGGTGCTCGTGCACGTGCGTCCTCGCGAGCGTCCCGGCCCGCCGCCGACACTCACGTCTCAGCTCCGTCTGAACCCCGCGACCCCCAGCAGTGGCCGCGACCAGCGCCGGGACCCCGAGGCCGCGGTAGAAGCGATGAGCCCGGCCCACGCGCGCGCGCGTGTGTGGCCGCCGAGTGGGCGGGGACGAGGCACCTTTCCCGGCAGCCCTCGCGCCCCGGGCGACGGCGGCCGGCGGGGCCCAAACTTCCGCAGCGGCCGCGCGCCGCTCCCCGCTCCCGCCGCCGCCGCCGCCGCCGCCCGCCCTGGCCGCGCCCCCGCTCCGCGCCCCCAGCCCCGCGCCATGCAGCGAGCGCGGGCCGGCGGCGGCCTGTCGTCCCGCGGCCCGCAGGTGAAGCTGCGCAAGAGGAAGTCGGCGCGGTACCTGGGCGCCCAGGAGCGCCCGGCGCGCGGCCGAGGTGAGGGCGGCCAAGTCGGCCGCGCGCCTCCCTCCCCCCACCCCCCCGCCTCGGGACCCCCGGGAGGCGCGGGGGCGGCGCGACCCGGAGACCCCCGCGATGCCCGCTCGAGCCCGAGACCCGCCGAGGGCAGAAGGTTCTTGGCGCCGAGAGTCGGGGGCGGGCGCTGACGACTCTCGGCGTTCGCCCCTCCCACGCGGCCCTGGTGGGGGACCGAGGAGGGGGCCGAGACCCCCCAGCCCCGGCCCCGCCGCAGAGCGCACCCGCAGGGACCTCCGGACCCACCCCCGGCTTTCCCCCCCCGGGAGCCGCGCGGGCTGGGCTGCAGCTGAAAGCAACCTCTTTTTTTATTATTATTATTTTTTATTTTAAGTTTTGCAGGCGCAGGCAGCGCTTTGGGATTCTAGGAAAGAGCAGTGTTGCGCGCTCGGGTGGGTTGCAGTTGCTGGAGAGAGAGCACCGGGCAGGGCAGGTCAGGTCACACCTGCATCCCCGGAGTCCCTGGAGCACAGCCAGGGGCCGTGCCGGCCCGGGTGTCCGCGGGGCCCCTCTGCCCTGGGGAGGGCGGGGCGCACCTTGCCCCGTGAGTGCCATCATCACCTGCTGGGTTCTGTTTTCCAGATCTGATGGGTGAAAGCATTTACCTGGTCCTGTTCACTGTCGCCTTCCGAGTCTGTAACTGCTTTCTCGTGCGGACAAGTTTTGTTCCGGATGAATACTGGCAGTCTCTGGAAGTTGCACATCACATGGTTTTCGAATATCCTTTGCAGTGTCTTTTCCACACTGAGTGATGTATTTTTTTTTTCCTCTGAGGGTGCCATTAGTTTATGCTGACGTTTCTGTGTCTTTCTTTGATGTTGATGTCTTCGGTTCAGTCATCAGCATGTATTGCCATGAGCCTCAGTACTGAGGAGACGGATGAAGTAAGACAGTCAGTCTTACCTTGGAGATGTTGAATTTAATAGTTAGCCTTTTGAAATCAAAAAAGGGACAGTGATTGAGGATGAGCCTGGCATGTATGACAGCCGAGTTTGCTCCCCACAAGCCTGGCATAGCCCTGGTGACCCCCCAAACAATCCAGTAGTAGTTTGGGACTGCCTCAGAGCACTCCTGGGTATGGCCCATATTATGCCTATCAAAAGATAATGGGGCTGGAGTGATAGCACAGTGGGTAAGGCATTTGTCTTGCATACAGTGGTCCCAAGTTCGATTCCCAGTATCCCCTATGGTTCCCAGGAGTAATTCCTGAGTACATGAGCCAGGAGTAGCCCCTGTGTATCTCCGCATATGACCCAAAAAGCAAAAAAAAAAAAAAAAAAAGATGATGTGACTGGGATCAGAGCAATAATACCCCATATTATGGTCCCTGAGCCAGCCAGGAGTGATCACTGAGTACAGAGTCAGGAGAAAGCCCTGAGCAGTCAGGTGTGGCCCAAAGCCATAAAGGAAAAAAAAATAATGTGACTCCAAAATAAACAATAATAAAGTAGTTTGAGGGTTTGGTTTTGTTTTATTTTGTGATGCCAGGGACTAAGGAATAATTTCTAAGAATGAGCCATTATCTCCAAGTAGTTTTATGTATGGAAATATATATATAATTTGTTATATCAGTGCCACTGAACCTTCGTCCTTAATATGAGTACTTACGGCTATTTGACCTGGGAGTGGACAGAAAGATTGAGGGGCTATACTTACCCTCTAATCTTTGCAAGCATTTATAAGATTCTCCATCTTTTGGGGAAAGATAGTGTCCAGTTGCTGGTAAGTTTAAATACTAAAATACTAAAAGTAGATGTGATGCTTTTTAACAGCTAATGTATATTAAGTAAATGGTATTGTTTTGTGATGAGATTGTTGGTTTTTTTTAAGTGAGATTGAAATTACATGACTTTTTGAAGGGTGCAGTTTCATGCATGCTTCTTGAAAGTCTATACTCTCACGGCAGTCACTACTGAAGTAACACTTACACCCCCCAACTCCATTAGACCCCCTCCCCACTTCAGCCCCCACCCCTCTGGTGCCCACAGCTTTGTGCTTGGACCCCATTAGTTTGTCTCCCCGTGCTTTGCTTCTCAGTATGCAAGTGAGTGAAACCATCCAATCTTTGTCCTTGATTCAATTCACTTAATATGACGCCTCCAGTTCCATTCATGTCACAAAAGGGCAAAACTTCATCTTCTCTTATAGCTGAGTAATACTCCATTGTTCTGTATAGGCGGCATCTTTATCCTCTCATCTTGCTAAATGGCCACACAATGAATCTGGGTGTGTGTTGTATGTATCTTTGGGAATTAGTGTTCATGTATTGTATGAATCCTAAGGTAGACCCAGTTTTATCTGTTTGAGAGCTTCCCAGAGAGGCAGGACTGCTTTACATTCCTGTTGGCAGTGTGAAGTTTCCTTTTCTCCACACCTACTAACACTTTGTTCATGGTGGGTGTAGGCATCTCCCAGGTGTGAGCTGGGGTCCCATTGTTTTACTAATTCTCTTTCCCAGGTGAGGATGAGCATTTTCCCCTTGTGCTTGTTGCTGATCTGTCTGCTTTCCTGACCTGTCTGTATTTCTCTTCTCCCTCCTCCTTTTTTGATGTTTGTTTTCTTGAATTTTGAGTTCCTTCTATATCTTGGTTCTTAGTGTTTTGTCAGATGTATTATTATTATTATGTATTATCAAATATATACACATTTCTCCAGTTAGTAGCATGAGATTAGTATTACTGATTAATTAGTATTCATTCATTGTGGTAGTATTCATTTTTGCAGTTAGTATTTTTCCTATGTAGAACCTTCAGTTTGTTTTAACCCTGTTTTGCTTTTGCTTCACTTGGCATGGAGATTTGGGGATTCATTAATCCCTGAATACATCCTGAAAGCCAGTATCTTGGAATGTTTTGTCCAATTTTTGTGTGTGTGTGTTTGCTTTTTGGGTCACACCTGGTGATGCACAGCGGTTAATCCTGGCTCTGCACTCAGGAATTACCCCTGGCGGTGCTCAGGGGACCATATGGGATGCTGGGAATCGAACCCGGGTTGGCCGCGTGCAAGGCAAATGCCCTACCCGCTGTGCTATTGCTCCAGCCCCGTTTCGTCCAAATTTTATTTTGTGTATTTCATGATTATAGACCTAACATCCAAATTAATTCAAATTAATCCAAATTCATTTGTTAACTTCTGTGCATGGTTGAGAATAGAGTCCAGTTTCATTCTCATGAATGTGGCTGTCATTTTCTCAATGTTTCTTTGAAGAGACATTCTCCTTTCTCCATTTTATGCTCTTGATTTATTATAAATTAGCTGTACATACAGTTGAGGACTTATTTCTGGAATTTTGGTTCTGTTCCATTGATCTGCATATTTTGATTCCAATGCCATACTATGTTCCATACAATACCATGGAATTTGTTTTTATTCCGGTACCATGTGTTTGATTTCTATAGCTTTGTAGTAGTTCGTAATCTGAAAACCGGCTAACCCTACTCTTTCATTCATAATTGCTTTAACTATTTGGGGTATTTTATGATTATAGAGGAATCCCACTATATTTGTTCTTAAAGAATGTCGTTAGGGGTTTTTTTTATTTTTTTGTTTTTTGTTTTTTTGTTTTTTGGGTCACACCCAGTGTTGCACAGGGGTTACTCCTGGCTTATGCACTCAGAAATTACCCCTAGTGGTGCTCGGGAAACCATATAGGATGCTGGGAATTGAACCTGGGTCGGCTGCGTGCAAGGCAAATGTCCTACTTGCTGTGCTATCGCTCCAGCCCCCTGTCATTAGGATTTTGGCAGAATTGCACTGACTCTATCTAAATCTTTGGGTAAGAGGCCTATTTTTACAGTGTTAATCCTTCCAAGCCATGAACGTAAATTATCTTTCCATTCCCTGTGTCTGTATGAAGCTTGTTTTTTTTTTTTAAAAGGCTATTCTTACTAAATCCTGACTGTATCTTGGACTTCCCATAATTCCAAAGATAAGTACAGTGATGCCTCAGCCAAAACAACATGAAAGTGGCTGGCATGAGCAGTGCTGTCAAACTCTGCAGATGTGCAGAGTGACCACGTTATAGACAACTTCGACTTTAGAAGTACAGCTCACCAAAGAATCACTTAGGAGCAGTCCTTTATATTGTTTTTATGATTTGTGATAGGTGGGGATACTCACCACTATACTAATGAGGACGGGGCCTTATTTTTATGATTTTTAAGTTTGATATATGTTCTTAAGATGAAATGCACAGAAGTCCCTCAGTATTTAGTCACTGTCACTGTGCTCCTGTTGTTCATCGATTGGCTTGAGCGGGCCCAGTAACATTGTGAGACTTGTTACTGTGTTTGGCATATCGAATACATCATGGGTAGCTTGCCAGGCTTTGCCGGGCGGGCCAAATACTCTCGGTAGCTTGCTGGGCTCTCCGAGAGGGGCAGAGGAATCGAACTCTGATCTGCCCGGTTGGCTGCGTGCAAAGCAAACACCCTACCCGCTGTACTATCGCTCCAGCCCGTATTGCTCCAGCCCCAGTATTTAGTACTGAAGTTAAAATTTAGGGGGGAAATTGACAAAAACATACTAATGTGCACACCATCATTGTATTCTTTATTAATCAGGCCTCAGAGTGAATGAGGGTGGCAGTTCCTCAATCGTGGGTCTCTGGAGACTGTGACTGCCAGAAGGTCCAAAGGGAGAACTAATGGTGCAAACGTAGCTCTGTCTCCAACTGTCACCATGTTGTTCTCAGGACCTTCTCTGTTTTCTGCATGGGTAGGGACTCAGAATTCCAAAGAAGTCTGGAAAGACATTCAGGTTCTAGGTGAATTTGTGGGGGAGGGAGCCACACCTGGCAGTGCTCAGAGCTTACTCCTGACTCTGCACTCAGGAATTACTTCTTGTTGGCTCTGGGGGACTACAGGGGATGCCAGGGATCAAAGCCGGATTGGCCTCTTGCAAGGCAAACACCTAACCTGGCCCCTAGCTAATTTTTTTATCCAGGACTCTGCTCTGCCACATGCAGTTTGGAGTTCCTCATTATGAGACACTCAAGCTTCACCCAGGAAGGAGCATTTAGAGCAGCAATGAAGTTGCTGCGGCTGACACAGGTGGAAGGAAGGAGCACAGTCTTCCCTCAGGGCTACCTGTCAGCTTCCAGATTAGGCGGGTGGCAACCATAAAACCTGGACCATAGGCAGCCATTTGTGATGATGTCCTCTAGGATCATAGCTCCCAGGAAGCAGGTTATTTCCTGAAAGAGTTTCTAAGCGTGAGGACTTCGTATTTCTCTAAGAGGCATCATGGCTGATGCACCTGGTATGCTTTTTTGATTATTGTCAAGAGAAAGCTCCCCCTATTCCCACCTCTTTCCCCAACAAACTTTAAAACAAATTGTTTAAGTTCATGTATTTTCTTTGATATTTTTTGTTTGTTTTTTCTTTTTAGGTCATACCTGGCGATGCACAGCGGTTACTCCTGGGTCATGCACCCAGGAATTACTCCTGGCAGTGCTCAGGGGACCATATGGCATGCTGGGAATCGAACCCGGGTCAGCCGCGTGCAAGGCAAATGCCCTACCCGCTGTGCAGTCGCTCCAGCCCCTTTCTTTGATCTTTTTTAAAAAGTGAAGCACCATGATTGACAGCCCCGTTCGTGACAGGGCTCCATGCACACAACATTCCAACCCAATACTCTCCACCAGAGTGTTTCACTTCTCTCCACGGAGGTGTCGCGGCCGCCAAGCATGTTTCCCCAGTCAGACTCTCCACCCTCCCCAGCTGGAGAAGTTTAGTTCTATAAAACCAGTTTGTAGGTTGTTGTTTTCGGTCATTTGCTTTTACTTGGAAATGGGGTAGGTAGAGATCTTGAGGATGTTGGTGCTCCGTCATCCTTAACCTCATGCGGAGGCTAAGGAACGGTATGTAATTTTGAAGGTGGAAGGGGTCCAAGAAAAAGCAAGATTGAAGTCATAGCAAGTGGAAGATAAAACTAACACTAGGTCTAGGCTTATATATTCAGAACTTGGTGTTCTTCCCAGTAGCTTCTCTTTTTTTTTTTCTTGGGGGGAGAGGGTATACCAAGCAATGCTCAGGTTACTCCTGACTCTGCACTCAGGAATCACTCCTGGTGGTGCTCAGGGAATATGGGGTGCTGGGAATTGAACTTGTGTCAGCCACATGCAAGGCACGCATCTTGCCTGCTGTACTATTTCTCTGGCCCCTCTCCTGAGAGCTTATTTAAACTTGTGCTGTCCAACACCCAGTCCATGAATCTGTGCCAGCCTCAGAATTCAGGCAGTTTCTAGCCGCCCACAACTACCAAACACGTGCAGCATGGCTGGTAAGGGAAACACTGGGCTTCCAGAAGCCCTGGAGGCCATGCTTCATCAACGCCCGCATTCCATCACCACCACTGCCATGGGAGCTCACTTCCCTGTTAAACATTCTGGATTTTCTGGAGTGTGTGGCCACATTTGTAGCCATGTGATATCCCCAAACTCTGCAGTACTGACATCCCATCCCATCTCACACACCATACTGGAAGGGAATGTCAGGCAGAAGCCAACTAGCTCAAGTGAAAAAACGAATCCAGGCTCAGCTAGCAACAACAGCTTAGTAAACCCTCAGACAGGGACTTACAGTCTCCAAAGTAGATAGAACAATTTTCATAAAATCTCTCTTACTGAAGTATTTTTTCAGTTGTTCCATTAGCCACTGCTACCAACCAATATAAAACGAATTACTGTGAGCTGCTACAGGGACCGGCTTGAGAGCTGCTTAGGAAATGGCTACAGTGGTGCAGAGAAGGCTACAGTAGGGTGGGATTGGGGCTGGGATATGGAATGCCTGTAACAAATCATCGTCAACAACCTTGTAAATCAAGTGGGAAAATGGAAAAAAACGAGCACAACACCTTGTACAAAATAAGAATGTATTTAAAATCTAGAAATCTTATATTGATTGAATGTTAAAATTATAATGCTTTAGATACATTAGGTTAAACAAAACAACAAATTCGTTTTGGGTGTTAGGTTTTGTTTGTTTTACTTTTTCATTTGGCTACTGTCAAACTTAAAATTATGTAAGTAGCTGATTTTAGCTGTTGCCCAAAAGAATATGTTATATCTAGTCTACAAGGAAGGACTGTTGCCTTAGTCCTGAGCATGAGCCAGGAGAGCCTCGGGGTTCCCCCAGCACTGGTTACCCCAGCACTCCGCTCCCCCCAAAATACAAGGCTTTCAGCTGATAGTTGGAACAGCTGATTTCTTATACTCTACTGTGAACTAACAAATGTTTTTATAATCTTTTCTTTTCCCCTCGACTAATGAAGATTTGGATTCCTAGACTCACCCAAGCATTTCTGTCTGCTATAGCAGACCTGAGACTTTACTCATTAATGAAGCAGTTGGAAAACCAGCAAGTGGCCAGATGGGTGGTAAGTGCTGAATAAGCAGAATGCCAGTTTCTTTATTCCTGAGGAATCATACTATGGGGGAAATGGTCATTTCCAAAACAATTTCAGGAAATCGCCCATAACTGATAGACGTGCTCCCATAATTAACCATCTGATGCCCGTGGTGCATGGGGTGCCTCTCCTGGCTGAGCCGGGCAGTAGAGGACATGACACGCCCTAATCCTGGAAGCACCTTCACTCCTCGAGCCTGGAATTCGAGCCTACCCTCCATTGGGTTCTATGGGAATGACCCTGAGTGTTGCCTGCCCAACTGATGGCCTTAACGCTGTGCCCTTCCCACACTCCCGGCACCAGAGACCAGCCGAGAAACAGCCGTGGCTTCTTTTGCTCTGGCCTTAGTGTTTGAAGCAGCTGCACGCGGAGAGAAGGCTGGCTTTGGGGATTTTTTGCATCTTTCATAGTCGAGAAATATTTCTGCTTTCCCGATCCAGTCCTAAATAGATTTTTCCATTTTATACCATTTTTCTAGTGACTGGATTCTGTAGAATCGTTACTTCATTTTGGCCTTTTCTTAAATTATGGTTTTGTGACCGACCTTGGTAATAGATTCCTGGGTGCTTAGGGTCTTTATTGAGTGTCTGTATACACTATTATGGGCTAAACTTAAAATGGCAAAGGAGTGATGCTTTTCAAATCCTCCAAGGTGGCAGCCCGAGGTTCTTCCAGTTTAGGCCACACTGTTAATTTATAAAAACTGGGCACTTTTTGTTTGTTTTGGGTCCCATTGGGCAGTACTCGGGGCTTGTTCCTGGCTCTGTGCTCAGGGATCACTCCAGGTAGGCTCAGGAACCAGACATGGTGCTGGGTATCCAATCCAGGTCAGCTTCAAGCAAGGCAAGCGCCCTACCAGCCCTGCCATCACTCAGGCCTCTAGTAACATTTTTCAAAGGTTAGAGTTGAAGAGACAGGAAGAAAATACCACATTTCAACACCCTTTCATCAACTTATAAGTTTCTTTTAAGACAAAATTTGTTTTCTACACTTAATGATACTTGTGTTTGCAAGTTCTTACAGAAACTGAATATGAATTTCCAAATTAAAATTTAATTAGGCCCCAATAGTCATTTTTTTCTTGCTTTTCGGTCTGACTGTTTCATCAAGAAACAGGGCGACAATCCAGGTCAAGGCGACGAAAAATACCTGTCAGAACTAAAAGACAGTTGCCGACCAGGAGAATGCAGCTGTGAGTTGCAGTCCTCCATAAAAAATACAAAATCCTCCACCAAAACGTACAATTTGTCTTAAATCACTAGGACATAAGATGTCAGTGCAATGCTATTTTGAGAGTACTCACATGTATAACTTTTTCCTTAAACTTTTTTTTATTTTATAAGTTAGTTCACAGTATTTGATTACATTTAATATTCAAACACCAATCCCACCACCATTATACCTTCCCACCACCAAATTTGGGATGTTTCCATCCCAAACTCCAATCCCTGTCCCAAAACACAACCAAAAGAATATATTTTGTATTGTCTGTTACGAAGAACTGCTGAACATGCTTACAAAAAAGTGTCCATATAAGAAACAGTGTGAAGATGGTTCTATTTTGGCAGGAGCCATTAAGACATTCTATAGGGTATCACTAACATGTTGTTATGGTTTGGGTGATGTGAGCTTTGGTATATATATATCTGAAAATATGCATATATGCATGTATATATATATTTCCTTTCCCTCTGTGATTTGTTGCGTACTATCTGAACCCCATCAAATATGATGTGGTAATTATGGAAAATGGGTAGGGAGTGTAATGTGATGGGTCGCGTGACCGCTTTCTCGTGACACATCACATGAATGTGTCCAGGAATATGCTCACTTATATGTGAGGCTGGGCCTGAGCATGTGGAAAGCGGTCTGGAGTGTGGCGGCGGTTGGGTGTGGAGGTTGGCTGCTGGGGCTGTGGGTCCCTTGCGGTGGGGAGGGCTCTCACCTACCACCTCCACCCCCCTGGGGTGCCCCGGGTGAAAACAGCCAGGCGCGGGGTCCGATGGCATGGCAATAGGGACCTCATTTTATGCTCCTTCCGGGAGAAGCAGCCATGGGGTCTGGAGAGTGGCCAGTGACAATCATTTGGTGCCGGCCAGAGGTGGCTTATGGGTGTGACCCCTGGGTGGCCGAGAAGTATAAACTTCATAACTTTAACAAATATAGATCTGATCTTGCATGGCCTCTGTTGGAAACAACTGCCTAAAACCCAGTCTGAGCCTACAGAATGCCAGAGAATGAGCTCACGGTTAGGCCAGGCCTTGCATGCTGAATGGCCCAACCTGATCCCGGCACTGCATGACCCCCCAGTACCACCAGGTGTGGTCCTGGTGGCCTCCGAGCCTGGATGCTGACTTGCCGGCCCCAGGCTGCCAGTACTCCCAAGCCCCTGAGCACTGCTGGGGTACTCTCCCTGCCCGACATCACTGGTGTAGGTAGGCTGCTTACACACCAGCTACCTTGAAACTTAACTGTTGCAATATTTAGACTCGCTTCCCTTCCCACCCCATGTATGTTTGCTCATAATTGTTCTTAGTTTTTTTGCCAGTTATGCTCTTGGTTCACATGGTATTGCTGTACCAGAACTCTCACAAACACCATGGAAACTGTTCTCACAATTGTTGCCCTTTTCTACTATCCTCTGGAAGGTTCAAAGTCGATAAGCAGGTGAGATATGTGAATGTTACTGTGTACAAGTCTCTAAAATGTGCTTCTGAAAAATCTTAAAAGATTTTCACATTGTGATCTCTTGTCCAGTGGGCACCACAAATTTTTGGTTTGATTTATTACTGCAGGGAAAATAAATACATTCAAACTGGGTAAAGAAAATTTAATAGAAAATACTGTTCACAGGGGCTGGAGCAATAGCATAGCGGGTAAGGTGTTTGCCTTGCACGCGGCCGACTCTGGGTTCAATTCCCAGCATCCCATATGGTCCCCTGAGCACTGCCAGGGGTAATTCCTGAGCGCAGAGCCAGGACTAACCCCCTGTGCATTGCTGGGTATGACCCAAAAAGAAAAAAAAAAAAAAGAAAATACTGTTCATAAAAAGTTTGTTACCTTTGACCCTGAAAAGGAAGTGGGCATCCTTTTAGTTCCCATAGAAGAAACAGTTGCTAAAATCTAAACAGAAGTATGATTTTGAGTTTCCCAGTAGGGGAAAATACTGAGCTATTACCGAAGCCTCTCACAATCTTGGAAATTACCATTTTATGGATGAGAAAAATTTAAGAGCTATGTAGCGCTGCACCGTAGCACTGTCCTCCATTGTTCATCAATTTGTGCAAGCAGGCCCAGTAACATCTCACAACAAATTGTGAGACTTGTTGTTACTGTTTTTGGCATATCGAATACGCCACGGGTAGCTTGCCAGGCTTTGCTGCGCAGGCAAGATACTCTCGTTAGCTTGTCGGGCTCTCTGAGAGGGGCGGAGGAATCGAACCCGGGTCGACCGCATGCAAGGCAAATGCCCTACCTGCTGTGCGATCACTCCAGCCCAAGAGCTATGCATCTCATAAAATTATAGTGACAAGCACTTTTTTTTTGGGGGGGGTCACACCCGGCAATGCATAGGGGTCACTCCTGGCTCTGCATTCAGGAATTACCCCTGGCGGTGCTCAGAGGACCATATGGGATGCTGGGACTCGAACCTGGGTCAGCCACGTGCAAGGCAAACACCCTACCCACTGTGCTACTGCTCCAGCCCCAGCACATTTTCTTTTTAAAAAACTATTTCTGGCTGGAGAGAATGCACAAAGGGGTGAGCAGATGGTGTCCATGTAGGTCACCCGTTCGATCCCCACCACCATGATTCCCCAGCACAGCCAGGACCCAGCTCCTCTCCCTGCCTGAGCAGTTAGGAGTAGCCCCGGCATGATGCAGGGTATGGCTCCAGATCCAAAAAACAAAGTCGTTTTGTGACAGAGTTAACAGCGGATGACTTCTAAACGTATTGCCTACTTTTCCTGACCACACATTTTCTTGTTCCCAGTGTTAAATACTCGTCACTAGTGGCACTTGCATTCCTGATCCGCCCCACCGCTCTGATTCCGTGGGTTCCTCTGCTTTTTCGACATTTCTGGCAAGAACAGAGAAAGCTTGACCTTACTCTGCATCAGTTCTTACCTGTAGGGTAAGTGTAAGCCCCACCGCTCTGATTCCGTGGGTTCCTCTGCTTTTTCGACATTTCTGGCAAGAACAGAGAAAGCTTGACCTTACTCTGCATCAGTTCTTACCTGTAGGGTAAGTGTAACTGTGCTCCATCTACTAATCTTAATAGCAGGTAAATTGTAGTCTATGGACAAAATTTTATATCTTTCAGCAAATTTGTCTCCTAATGTAAGAATTGCCAGAGTAAGGAATCAGTAATCCAGATTTGTATTTTTTTATATCTAGGATTTTAATGATACGTTTTAACTTTATAAATATTGTGCCATTTTTCTTAGAACTTTAGGCATTATTACCTAAATATTTCTGATACATTTAAAATTTTACATTTGTATTGGAATTTTATATGATCACCTGTTATTATTTTCACAAATTTTGGATATGAGGAATTTAGATCTCTTCATTTTGTATAAGAATAAAAAGGGAGGTTGGAGAAATGTAAAATGTTTAAAGGTTCTGGGGTTGTGTGTGTCAGCAGTAGCTACATACCCTGCATATGCGAGGTCCTGTGTTTGGTCTCCTGCACCATTCACACATACACACACACACACACATGCGCGTGCGCTGGGGATATGGCCAGGGTACACTTGCATGTATATACATGCAGCTGGGGATGTGGCCGGGGGAACAGTATAGCTCTCATTATCTTTAGCACTCAGAGTAGTCTCCAGCACCCCAAAAGCAGAGTAACTGTGTTGGCTGCTGTGATGATCTGGACTGAAATAGGCATTTGAACTACATTTTGAGCTCTTAGAATCAGACTTGTCCCAAGTGCCATCCTAAATATTTGCTGACAGGGAGACTATCCTGACTCTTGGAAACATGCTCTTTCCCCAGAATACTATATTCACTCTGCAGTTCTTTTGGTAGCTGTTGAAAAGGGACTGTGTCATTTGGGGGCTCAATTGCCGCTGCTGTCACTTCTCAGGTTCCTGTGTCACGATGTTCTGGAAGCTTCACACTGACTCTCCAAATATTTTTTTCCTGATGTAACAGGTACTATCCCAGATGTTTATAAAACAAGTCCCTGCTTTATTGACATTTTCATTCTTTTGAGAGGAGACAGCTAAGAACTTCAGTAACACATCTTTTATACCAGACGACCGGGGACCTGTCGAGACAGCTCAGAGGGCAGGGGCACACCCTGGCTTAAAGCCCCGAGGTCCACCCCAGCACCAGCAAGTCCCAGAGCAGCCGGGCTGTGGTGCTGATATCCCAGTTATCTTGCTGTTTGGGATTGCACTGCTGGGAGCGGACCTCAGGCCACTAAACATAGCTTGGGAACCCCCCAACAACCCCCTCAAGAGAAAGTGTTGTAGAGAAAAGATATACTACAAATTACAGTAACTGAGACAAGTAGATCAGTGCAAGATAAAACGAATGGAGCAGTGGAACACAAAGGGTCCAGTAACAGACATAATGGCTAATTTGTATATACTCATCAGCATTACAATAAATATAGAGAAGGATGGTTTCTTTTTCTTTTCTTTTCTTTTTGGGTCACACCCGGCGATGCTCAGGGGTTACTCCTGGCTCTGCACTCAGGAATCACTCCTGGCGGTGCTCGGGGGACCCTATGGGATGCTGGAAACCCAGGTGAGCCGCGTGCAAGGCAAACACTCTACCTGCTGTGCTATCGCTCCAGCCCCAAGGATGGTCTTTTCAATAATTACAGAATCAGTTGACCATCCTTATGAGAGGCCAGTTTTTATCTTTATTTGCTACATAAGCAGAAAAAAAATTAAAATCCTAGGGAATCATAGATTTTAATGTAAAGGCAAAAGAATGGTTCTATTCTAAACTATACTAGAATATTTTTATGGTTTTGAGGCAGACAGCACTTCCCTAGCTTCCCTATATTAACTATAAAGGAAACCATGTACCTGGACATGGTGAAATTCGAAACTTTTTCATCAGAGTCATCACTCAGAAGGAAAAAATAAGTCACGGACCAGGAGATAGTTATAACACAGGAAAAAGAAAAAACTCATCAATTATATATAGAAGTTGGAAAAAAAATCTTTAAAAAATAATAAGATGTGGGGCCAGAGAGATAGTACAGTGGGTAGGGCATTTGCCTTGCACGCAGCCGACCTGGGTTCGATCCCCTGCCAGGAGTAATTCCTGAGTGCAGTGCGCACTGCACTGAGTAACCTCTGAGCACCGCTGGGTGTGACCCAAAAAGCAAAAAGCAAAAAAAAAAAAAAAAAAAAAAAAAAAACGTGATAGGGCTAGAGCAGTGGGGAGGATGGTTGTCTTGCACGCAGCCAACCCAGATTAGATCTTTGGTGCCCCATATGGCTCTCCCCACATGTACCTCAGCCCTGCTAGGAGTGATCCCTGAGTACAGAGCCAGAAGTAAGCTCTGAGCATTGCCTGATGTGGCCAAAACCCAAAAATTAAATAATAGAAGATTAATGAAATGACCTGAACAGGTCCTTCAGAAGAGATTGTAAAGGTACCTCATTAATAATCAAAGGAATTAAAACTGCTAAAACTGCTCAGTCTACTCAAATGACTTGAAAGGATACAGAACGCTTATCTGTTCCAATGGAAACAGAAGTTGGCAGAGCTACTCTGGAAATTATTTGCTAATGCTGGCCACTTTTGTATGCAGAATTATGTGCCAGTAATTTCAATCCTAAATATATACTTGACAGAAAGGTACATATTTGGGAACTAAAAGATATTTAATTCAATGTTCACAGCACTATTCGCAGTAGCTAAAAGAAGTTCAGTGTCTACCAAAGCAAACACGTCATGCTATGTTAAGTAAATACTAAACACTGCTGTAGGTGAGTGAACCATTGCATTTGCTGTCCCCCCTCCCCCAAACTGCTTAAACCTTGCAAACCTGCCTGAAGGAAACTGGATACAAAAGCACATACAGAAATTTCACTTTCATAAAACTGAAACGAGAAAGACTTCTGGGTGCCAGTCTCACTGGCTGACTCACCCCGAGGCGGGTGAGTAGCATGTCATGAGGCCGGTTTAAGGAGAGGGAGACCGAAGCCCACCGGCAGCTCTGAGGCTGACAGCAGACCCCCCACCGCCACCCTAGTCACCACCCCCATGTCCTGGAGCCATGAGGCCCAGCTAAATCCTTGGCCCACAGAAACAGAGAAGTGTCCACACAGTGCCCTGCGGGAGGGCTGGTGTGTTGTCACGCAGCAGCAGATACAGTGTTCATGACTTTGTACGTTTGGCTAATACAGCTTCTCATCCGTAACAGCCGAAGGATGTCAGACCTTAGCTGCTGGAACATCAGCAGTGAGCTGTGACGTGGCTTTGGAGGACAAGGCGCTGGCCGAGTTCCCACTGGTACTGGCCTTCAGGAGGGCGCGATGCTAACCACCACTCTATTTTGTTTTTCAGATTTGTCGCTTTGAGTTTGTCTCTGATAATCGACCGTATTTTTTTTGGTCAAGTATGTAAAAATACATTAACAACTATTTTCAGTTTAATCATTTATTGTTATTCTGACCCTCGACTCCCCCACCCATCCCAGCCCTCACCCCCTGGCCACATCTACGTGCTCAGTGGCTGCTCTGTTTGGTGCTCAAAGCTTACTGTTGGCACAGAGCTTGGGGAACCAGGGAGTGTTGTGAGCCTCAAACCTATAGACAATTTGTAAATGTTTTTGGGCGGAGAGCACACTTGGGCACTCAGGGACCAAGCCTAGGGTTCCCACAGGCAAAGCATGTGCTCTGACCCTTTTAGCTCTCTCCTCGGCCTTGCAAATCATTTTCTTAAAATGCTACGTGCTACATTTAAAAAACAACAAAAATCTCAACCTGTGCGTTTGGCTCGATTTGCTATGTGAGGACTATATTTATGATTCTTTCCACGGTGATGTTTGTGGAGTCTGTTTTGGACCTGGGGTTACAGCTCAGGGGTAGAACATGTGTCTCATATCTGAAGGCCCTTAAAGAAGTCTTTAAGGCATTTTGGAGGCAAATTTATAAGATAGTTAAAACATGTAAATGACCTAAAGTTAACTTCAGTATTAAAACTACTATACTTTATTCTTCAGGGTTTTGTTTTTGATCTCATGACTGTCGATAATGTTCTGATTCTTACTTTGGGACTGGGGGGGGGGGTGGTGGGGAGGCGAGGTGCTTCTAAGCAGGGATCTGGGGTCCCCGGCAGCACTCAGCCAGGCAGGAAAGGACAGTTTGGTGTGAGGACCCAGGAGAGCTGGAGCCACGCAGGACAGCTCTGGCAGTGTGGGGACCATGTGGTGGCAGGAGTCAAACCCAGGTCCGTGCCATTGCAAGGCATGTCCCCTGGCCTGGGTCCTCCTCCAGCCTCTCTGTCACTGTTTCTGAGTTCACTTCTTTTAAAGTCACTTAAAGGTGTCTGAAATGAGACTGCCAAAATTTGGAGCCCAGTGCCTTTAAAATTATCAAGTTATGTGTCCTCTTTGCCATATGTAATTTCATAATGTCTTAGCCAAAACTATTAATGCAAGCTATTGTCTGGTTTTTAGACTTCATTCCTAATTTAATGTAAAAATTCCGCCACGTTCTCGAATGCCAAAGATTCATGCTTGGCACTAATACGTTTCTGTTTCTCTTTCCTTCAATTACGCCAGTGGACCCTGGTTCAGTTTAATTTTCTGAAATTTAACGTGCTGCAGAATGTGGGCGCCTTTTACGGCTCTCACCCCTGGCACTGGTACCTCAGCCAAGGCTTCCCCGCCATCCTGGGCACACACTTGCCCTTCTTTATCCACGGCTGCTTCATAGCACCAAGGAGGAGTCAGGTACTCTTGGTCCCTGTGGTGTGGACGATGCTGGTTTATAGGTAAGACTTTATTTATTCAAATGGTTTGTTTTTGTTTTTTAACGTTACCGAGTTCTTAAAAAGTAAGCTATCTTTGTGATCTGTTGGTGGGGACTACTTAAGCAGACAGAGAAAGTTCTGATTATTCTGGTGCTCTGAATGAATACCTGTGTTTACAGTTTGCTTAACATCCTTGGTTTGAGGAAGTTGAACTTTGAAGAAGCTGAACCAGAGCCAGGGATGGGGCTCAGAGTAAGGCACACGTCTTGCTTATGTGAGACCCTCGGTTTAGTTTCTGGCACCCCGGGGGGAACTAAGGACGCTCAAAGGCCTTGCATTCGGGAGGTCCACGTTCAATCCCATCACTGCATGGACCCCAGAACACCATTATATATGACCTCCAAGCACTGCCAGGTGTCCCCCCCCGCCCCCCCGAAACAAACAGAAAACTAGTGGAACTACTTTGATTTGCTTAAAAAAAAAAAAAAACCTACCAGAGCCTGGAGAGGTGGTACAGTGGATGGAACATTTGCCCTGCATCCAGCACACCTGGCTTCACCCCGTATGAGCCCTGCCAGGAGTGAGCCCTTAAGTAAGCCCTCAGCACTGCCAGGTATGGCCTCTCCACAAAATTTAAAATCACCAGAATTGGGGGAAAGGGGAATGCCGGATATCAAACCCAGGGTCTTGCTTCACACATGCAAGGCATGTGTACAACTGAGCTCCACTGGCACCCTCAGAATTATAAGTTTTAAAGTAAAAAAATATATATATATGTTAGTAACATGGTTTACATGCACTGGTACTAAGAATTTTTGAAATAAAAATTTTTAAAATAAAAACTACATTTTTAGAATGTAATTTTACTCTAGAATTTTATAACAAATGCTAAATTATCTTATCACTTTATATTGTACATTATAATAGTATCTGTAACTAAATAGGGGGGCTGGTCTTGAAGCATGACATTCAGACTTAGTATAGAAAATCAGATGTTTACTGCATCTCATTTAAATATGTCAAACTTGTGCTGTGACAAAGTAATATTTATGTTTAATATCTTTTATTATAGCATGTTGAGTCACAAAGAATTCAGGTTTATCTATGCAGTTCTACCATTCTGTATGGTGTTCTGTGGTAAGTATATTTACTTAAGAGAAAAATGTTTAATAGAATCAGGACAGTAAGTGCTCACTGAACTCCTAAGTTACTGTTCATTTTTTTAATGCATTGGCTTTATTTTTATTTATTTTGCTTTTTGGGGTCACACCCGGCGATGCTCAGGGGCTCTTCCTGGCTCTGCACTCAGTAGTTACTCCAGGTGGTGCTCAGGGGACCATATGGAATGCTAGGGATTGAACCGGGGTTTGATGCATACAAGACAAATGCCCAACCCATTGTACTATCACTCGGGCCTCTAAGTTACTGTTTTGAAGTGGGCTAAATGAGAATTCCTTCTGAATTATGAACTCTGTTATTTTGGAACCGAGAAACCCCAAGAGTTTGGGGCTCAACCCAGTGCCTCCTGCATGCACACCTGGGAACTCTCTTCAGGACTCTTCCCACCCTGCGGGGTTACCTTCTAATTACATTACTGACGTATTCTCTCTTTTGTAGGGCAAACGTCCATTTTCCTGTGTCCTATTTTGTGACATAAAAATATGTGCCCTGGGGTGGAGAAATAGTCCCTGAAGGGCCTTAGGCACATGTCTGCCTGCTGCCAGCTCCATTCAGACCTGGGCTCTGTATGTGGTCCCTTGAGCAACACAGGACTGATCCTTGAGCACAAAGCCAGGAATAGGCCAACCCCGCCGCCAAGGCCCCCTCCCAGGCCAGAGAGAGTACAGTGGGTAAAGTGCATGACTTGATCCCCCATCACTGTATGGTCCCAGTGGCCCCCAAGAGTGATCCCCAAGCAGAGAACCAGGAGTAATCCCTGAGCACAGCTGGGGGTAGACCACCCACCATCCCCCTCAAATGTGTGTGTGTACAAATATATACGAATATAATATCCAAAGCACCTATCGGTGATGGTATAACTATTTGAAAACTTATAAATATGCATGTCTATTTTAGAATAGCTATAGTAACAGTCAGAAAAATACATTATAGCTACTAAAATTAGTTTTGGTCTTAGTTTAACCAATAAACCCTTAGCCAATGGTGCTCAGGGTTTATTCCCGGCACTGTGCTACGGGATCACACCTGGCGGTGCTTGGGGAACCATATGGGGTGCCAGAGATCGAGCCTGTGTTGGCTGAGTACAAGGCAAGTGCCCTACCCACTGTATTTTCTCTACAGCCCCTTGGAACTAGTTTTAATATGCCTTGTATTATCTGTGCAAATTGTGTATTTGATGATCATAATTGTATTATTTTTTGGTCAGTGTTCATGAACAGTATCAACTCTATGGTTTGATGTAGTTACCATGCCTCAATCCCACCGAAGTGCCCCGACCCGCTTCCAGTGCCCTGACACCCATTCTGTCACCCTCCCTTCTCCAACCTTCTTTGATGCAACTGTTAACCCAAGGAAGTACTTTGTTATTAAGCTATATTTGCTGGTCTCTTGTATTTGTGAGTGGAATTATTCCACCTGGTGATGTTTTAGAATGGTATTTCAGGTACTTTAAAGGTAATTCGAGATTTTGTTCTCTTTAACAGCTTCTGCATTATGCCCTTCAAATAAATAGATTCAGATTTGTTTTAAATGTAGTCTTAATTTTATCTGTTTAGCTACGTTTTTATCATACCACTTCTCTAATCAGGGCAATTTCAAGTGGTACACAATGAGAGGAATGTAAGATTCCAGGTACTAAATGGGAATAAACCATTAGGAAATTACATATAAGATTCATAGAAAAATTAAACATTTAGGATTTTTCACCAGTTTTGATTTCAGGTAGTTTAAACTGAATGAAGGCATCTTATTTTCATTACATAAAAATTAAATTTTCAGCCAATTTTATCATCTATAACACAGAAAAGAGATAATACCTGCAAAAATGCTGAAAATAAATTGTGAAGCATCTCAAATTGTCCCGATGATACAGTGAAGGAAAAAAAATTATACTGCTCTCCTTCCAGAAAATATATTCATGCCATCACTCCTTGGGTCACAAACCCTCTCCAAACTCAGAGGGCCACTAACACTCTCCCAGGAACCCAGCAGTGTATTTCACTTGGAGGAAACTTTTATTTTGTCCAGAGTTTCTGAGAATTGAATGTACATACTGCAATACCCATTAGTAGTGCTTGGGGAGATTATTTTTTGAGAGGTAAATATAATAGTATTTACCTAGCAACTGCATGTATAAGACAGGCTCTAGACATGCTCTCTTTGTGGGGGGACAGGGGTGTGGGAGGGTGGAGGTGTGGCAGTCTGGGCCCACCTGGCAGTGCTCAGAGGATGGTACATGGTGCTGGGAATGGAATCGGGTCAGCCACTTGCAAGGCAAGTGCCTTAACCTCTGTCCCTCTGGCCCTGTATTTTTCCCAAACACTTGAAACTAGAGCTCAGCAAAATAAAGCATCCTGTGCCAGAGCTAAAATTTAAACTAATCTGCTGGAGACTCAAACCATAATCTTTCCACTGAAACCTGTGATTCTTTTTTCTTGGAAAAAAGTCCAGACCTGTATGACAGAAACAGTCGAGGAGGGCAGAAGGACGGACAGACGGAGATGCCTCATGGCGTCTCTTTCCAGTGTTCTAAGGATCTAGCTGACAGTGCTGGCGGGTGGGGGGAGCCCCCACGGTGCCGGGATGAAACCCAGGTCTCCCACATTCCAGGCAAGTGCTCAGCCATGCCCGGACCCAACCTGCTCTTTGGTTTTCCCATGATAGCCGGGTGAATTGTCATAGAGGGGCTGACTTCCTAACAAATTACAAATAGATGTATCCAGGTAGCATCTGCTTAATTGCCACAAGATATCACCAGTATTGAGTCATCATTTTTAATTTCACATAGGGTACTCACTAAACCACTTGAAAACATGGAAGAAACCAGCTCTAACTTTCCTGTTTTTATCAAATACGCTCCTCGCCCTCTATACTGGTTTAATCCATCAGCGAGGTGCTCTTGATGTCCTGACTTACATTCAAGAACTGTGTCACAACAATCCCAATAAATCTTCAGTATTTGTCATGATGCCTTGCCACTCTACACCTTATTATAGGTAATAAGTTCTTCTATTTATTTATATATATATGCATATATACGCGTATTAAGAAAATAAAACTTAATTTTAATGATTTTGGAAATTATTATAAAACTGTTTGTTTTGTTCTGGTTTGGGGCCACACCCGACTGGGCTCAGGGAGCACTTCTGGTGGGACTGAGGAACCATTGGGAGTGCAAGGGACCCAACCCAAGTTGGCTACATGCAAAGCAAGTGTTCTGCCCACTGTACTATCTCGCCAACCTATGTAAAAAATATTTTAAACTGATCGGCGAAATCATAAATTTTAATAAGCTTTACACAGGCTTTAATGTCTTTCCAAATTTATGCAATATACATTCAAATGACCAAATTCACATGTAGCATAAAGCATGATAAAGGTATTTGATGGGATTCTTCCTAGTTAAGAAGTCCAGTTGTTGATTTTACTATAAATATTTGTCATACATCATTTATGCCATTTTGAATTAATCTGCAGATCCTGAATTCTGGTCCACATTTACTCCTGGAATGGCCCCCTAATTTTAAGAAGGCATTTTAAAATATCGTTGAACATCACATATCTTTCCCATAAAAATTACAAAATTTGGGGCCAAAGAGTTCAGTAAATACGCCTAACATGTATTTTGCATGCTGGAGGTCTGGGCTTGACCTCTGGCGCCACATAATGTCCCCTGAACACTGCCAAGAAGTAACACCTGAGCACTGAGCTGTGAATAGCCCCAGGGCACTACTAGTTATTGCACAAAAACAAAAACCAAGAAAGGAAATTCAGTTAAATAATATCATATTGCTTAAACTGTTTGTGGCAAATATAAAATATTAAAATTGCCTTTATAATGTAAAATGTTAAAAGACACCCACTATGTAGCCCAGTACTTGTAGTTCAGGAAGCTGTGTTTCCAGTTGCCTAATATAAGACAAAGCAAAAAGTTTTCCTTTTAAAAATTCTTCACATGGGTCTGGAGGAATAGCACAGAGGGTAGGGTGTTTGCCTTGCACACAGCCAACCGGGGTTTGATTACCAGCATCCCATATGGTCCCCCAAGCACCGGCAGGAGTAATTCCTGAGTGCAGAGCCAGGAGTAATCCCTGTGTGTCCCCGGGTGTGACCCAGAAAGGGAGAAAAAAAAAATTCTTAAGTTAACCTGGCTTTACAAACCTGAAATTTGTGTGTGTGTGTGTGTGTGTGTGTGTGTGTGTGTGTGTGTACTAAATTTAGTCAGATTAATATAAAAATTGGTATGTTCATTTAGCTTTGGGAATTAGTAATGGAACTCTTTAACACACAATTTGGAAAACAGATTTAATCATAAAATCCATGGGCTACGGGTGAGACCTTAAGTGTCCCTCCAGTTGAGGCTCCTGTCCATCTTCTCTAAGGACAGTCGCTCTCTCCGCTGTCATACCTTGTTTTGGTTTGTTTTGTTTTGTTTTGGTCGACACCCAGCAGGACTCAGGGTTGCTCCTGGCACTGCATTCAGGAACTAATACTGAATGTTCAGATATGGGATGCCGGGGATCGAATCCAGGTCGGCCATGTGCAAGGCAAGCGTCCTGTCCACTTTCCCATTGCTCCAGCCCCTCATTTTATACTTCTTTTGAAAGGCTCAGTGGTGCACTTGGTCCTCTAAGGCAGCGCAGCGCCCCCTTTGGGGATCCTGCTTCCTGTGGAACGATCTTCATCTCCGAAATTGTCATTAAAAATTGGGTCTTTTGGGGCTGGAGTGATAGCACAGCAGGTAGGGTGTTTGCTTTGCACGCAGCCGACCCGGGTTCAATTCCCAGCATCCCATATGGTTCCCTGAGCACTGCCAAGAGTAATCCTGAGTGCATGAGCCAGGAGTGACCCCTGTGCATTGCTGGGTGTGACCCAAAAAAAAGGAAAAAAAAATTGGGTCTTTTAATTTAAATCAGCTGGAGCATAATACCCAATCAAAGATAACAGAAATGAAAGTCCTCAGTCAAAAATTTGCCACAATGGGGGAAGGGCAATTAGGCCACAGAAGGGACTACTGTAACACTGACCGTGGGAAGTGATCACAAGAAGGGTGCTGAGCGGAGGAGAGTGGTGCGCATGAGACCCTTCCAGTAACAGTACTGCCAACCACAGCGCCGAAAGGGAAAAGTAAAATAGTGCCGCCACAGAAGTAGGCAGGGGCAGGAGGGAAACTGGGGACACTGGTGTAGGAATGGGTGCTCAAACTTTGCAGGACTGAAAATCATAAACAACATAGTAACTTATGGTGATCCGATAAATTTGTTTTAAATGTTTAAAACACAGCAGTAGGGCGTTTGCCTTGCACACAGCCAGCCCAGCTGAGCCGGGTTTGATTCCTCCACCCTTTTCGGACAGCCCAGCAAGCTACCGAGTTTCGCCCGCACAGCAGAGCCTGGCAAGCTACCCGTAAGGTATTCAATATGCCAAACACAGTAACAAGTCTCATGATGGAGACGTTACTGGGCCCGCTTGAGCAAATCGATGAACAAAGGGAGGACAGTGTGATACAGTTTTAAAATTGGGTCTTGTGTAAATTTACTTTGTATCCATTTCACAGATTAAAATAAAACCCTATTGCATTTTTCTAATTGGAAATTGAAACAAATACCATTTAATTTTTTCTGCTGCAAAGTTACAAACATGTAGCAGTCATAATTGTTCAACCCCTCTTTTTTACATACTCTAGTAACCATTATTTATGTGGGTGGTGATAACTGAACACCTTGCTCTATTACTAAATTTCGTAGGGGCCAGAGAGAAAACACGGGGCCTTGGTGCGATCTTGCCTTTGTCTTGTAAACCCTCGTTTCGTCCCCAGCAACCAGCTGTGCCGTCACCCTCCTCTTAAGAAAAAGCCCTCGTGAAAAATTTGTCCTTTAAGGATGTGTTCCATCCAGTCAGCGTTCACAAAGTTGTAAGGAGCTCACCCGGCCATAGGCACCGGCCCTTGCTGAAGCAGCAGCAGCGCGTGGAGCATCCTGATCTGTTTGCTAGCAGGCCGGGGCCTGCTGCCCACCTGGAAACAGAGTTTCAGGGCTTGGCTGCACAGTTCACGGTGTGAGAATCATTCTCCACCCTCCGGAAAGCTGCAATAAAAGCTCCTCATCTCGCCTGAGATCAAGTGTAGATTCAGATTTCACATTTTTGTTATGGAAATATATTTTGAAACTAAACATGTATAGGGCTTTTTATTTCTTGTAATTATAACGGAATTTTGCCTTCTCCTCTAGCCATGTCCACTGTCCACTCCCAATGAGGTTTCTACAGTGCCCCCCAAACCTGACTGGGGAGAGCCACTATCTTGATGAAGCTGATACATTTTACCTGAATCCTTCAACCTGGTTAGATAAAGAGTTTCACAAAGATTCAGCACTACCTACTCACTTGCTCATCTTCAGCGTTTTGGAAGAGGTAAGGAAACATGAAAAAGAATGGAGAACTTGGTTTTTTTGTTAGTTTGGCAGATACTTGGGTAAAGAACGTGTTTTGATGGTCCTTTAAACCCCTGGATTTTGTCATTGCTTTTTTGGGTTTTTTTTTTTTTCTTCTTCTTGGGTCACACCTGGAGTTGCACAGGGGTTACTCCTGGCTCATGGACTGAGAAATTACTCCTGGCGGTGCTCGGGGGACCATAGGGATGCTGGGAATCGAACCTGGGTCAGCTGAGTACAAGGCAAATGCCCTACCCCCTCACTGTGCTATCGCTCCAGCCCTTGTCATTGTTTTTTTCTTTTTTTAAACTTAGTCAGAATCTGCCCCTGCACTATACCTGTCAAAGTATGTTACTTACACTAATCCTTTTATTTAAAAACTGTATTATTCTGGGGCCAGAGCAATAGTGCAGCAGGTAGGGTGCTTGCCTTGCATGCAGCCAACCAGGGTTCTATCCCCAGCACCCCATATGGCTCCCCTGAGCCCCACAAGGAGTGATCTTAGAGCACAGAGCCAGGAGTAAGCCCTAAATATTGCCAGGCGTTGCCCCCAAACCAAAAAGAAATAAATTGTATTTTTTTTAATAAGAAAAAATAGTTGTAGAGCAGTAAGATTAGATCATTTTAAAATTTTTAAACCTTGGTCAGTAAAAATGTAGCCTTTATTCACTTCAACATTTATTTACTTCTAGGAAATAAATACTTTCTTAATTTCAAACAACTATGAAAGAACTACTGTTTTCTTCCACACTCATTTTCCAGAAGGTCGAACTGGAAGTCATATATTTGTCTATGAACGGAAATTAAAAGGGAAACTCAGCAGAAGATGAAATTTGGAACTGTGTGTAGATTGAAATACTCAGATCCTGCTTAAATATACAAATAAACATGGGTAAGATTCGTGGTACTAGCAAAATAATTATGCACTTCCTTACCAAATATCACTAGTGAGGTGTATTGAAATAAATAAATAAATAAATAAAATCACATAGCAACACATTGCCGGGTTTTAAATAAAGACCTTCAGTTTTCCTCATGGTGTAGTTTTATTGTTTCTTCCACAATATTCAGATGTGCAAGAAATTTCACAAGAGAACAAGTCAGCAAGTTCATAAGAAGGCAGCAAATTCTTCACAAGTCAACGGGGCTCTTGAACCCACAAAAAGACAAGAAGCAAATATAAGGTTATAAAATGTAAAAGATGAAATTCCATCACAATGTACTTTTTTCAAGCTCTACTGCAAGTAATCACATTAGTGTTCATTGCACTTTGTCGCATATGATCTGAGCTTGCTTTAAAGGAAGTCTTGTTTCATGCACAGAACGTGTTGCACGCCTGGCTTCCCGAGTGAAACTAGTTGAACTAGTACAGCTCCAGTGCCAAGACAGTTCAGCACAGCTAAACTACAGGAAAGTGCGGGTTAGTAAGCTTTTGCTGCCTCTGAATGATTACAACAGTGAAACCAAACTGATATATGGAAATAAAAAGGGCACTGTTAATTTGATAATTTCATCTTGGCTTCAATACCAAACACTGAAGAAAGTATCCAAGTTTCTGTTACACGTTTTCTAATTCCACTTAACCATGATAGTCAGTATTTAGGATCAAAAGGTAACTGCCCCAACTCTATTTCAAGATTTGCCATGTATCTTCCATTAGTGCGACCGTATTTATGCCATTTACCTTCCCTTTTATAAGGCTGTGTCTGAGGGTGCTTCTGCTCTTGCTTTCGATGCCTGGAGTTTTCAATATTTACCATACGCTGCTTTTTATCTGGCCGACTGAAAGCAGTAAACACATTTTTCATCCATGTTAGAGTTAAAATTTATTTAAACAAGAAACAATTTTAATGTTTTTCTCCATTAATCTACTATCAACACTGAAAAAGTATATTAATAAATCTGAAGTATAACCTTAGTGCAATCACATGAAAATAATTCAGTATTATACTTTTTCTAAAAAGAAAAGATAGGCATAATTATTACTGGCAAAAGGGGGGAACACTCAATAGGGAATCGTAGAAATGTGGCAATAAAATAATGAGATACATTTCGATTATTTTCCCACCTTTCCTATAAAACTCCCTCCCACTGGCTTGATTCCTCAACAGGAATATGTACGTCTCCTAAAAACAAGTCTCTCCCTATTTCTCTTAAACTAAGGTTCGTCAACAGTGCGTCATTGCCTCCCACAGTCTCCAACCAGGAATCAGTCACTACTTCACTGAGACAGGTCTTAAAAGCATGTGTTAGCCCAGCAAAGAAACAATGTCACACATTTAAATAAGCCTTTTACTTAACTGTTGGATTTCTGTGGAGTTTTTTTGTTTATTTTTAACTGCAAGCCCTAGAACCTGGTGCTTCCCAGCAGCCTGACAATGTCTTCAGCCCACAGTATCCTCTCAGACATCGTAAGCGCAGCGAATGCATAACCTGCGTAATCACTCCAGCTGGAGGTCAAGGGGTGCCTCCAAAGCAGTGTCATTTCCAGCTTCCCTTAACTTAAACCTGATGTTCCTTACCATAAAGAGTTAACTGTCAGCCCTAAAAATGTAGGGATCTCGAAATAATGTCTTCATTTCTCTTTCAAAAGAAACACGGCAGCGCCAGGCTGGAGAGTGCTGACAAGCTCTGTGTGTGTGTGTGTGTGTGTCTGTGTCTGTGTGTCTGTGTGACACAGTGGAGCCCAAGTGTGGCCCCCCGCGCGGCAGATGGTGCCCTGAGCACAACACCCAAAACCAAAACAAGGAAGTACCGTCCTGCCAAATTTACTTGACCAACTGCCATTCAAATCTGCCCACTCCTACAACTGTCCGAGTTTAGACGCTCACCAGCTCCTTCACCTTCAGAGACCATCTCGGCTACTCGCTTCAGCCTTTCCAACCAGTTCTCAAGGCTGCTTCCACTGAATGAAAGTGCAATCAAACCAACCTTTCGGTGGAAAATTAAGCCCTTCTTGACCTGAGGTTCTTTTTTTTTTTTAATTACCTTGGCACAACACCACCTTAAAGTTGCATTTCTTTGCATCTCCAAGTTCCTGTGGACTAACATGAAGTCCCTCTAACTGCAATGTCCTACCTATCCACTTGGCCATGTCTCACTTGCTCAAACACCCAGTTAAAAGCGGTTCCATTCAAATGCTCTCACTCATAAAGTCTTCCCCCAGACACTTCCCGAAAGACAGAAACAACCACATACAAAAACACACCACTACACTGCATGATAGGGCTAGCTTTTATCTATGCCACCAGCCGGCTTGACAGCAAAAACCTTTCATTTTTGAAATCTTTTTCCTCTGGGCAGCCTCATGTGCTTTGAACATTGTAGGCACGAGATACCCAAAGATTATAAACACCCAAATCAAGTCTCATTATTTTATAGACACATTACATTTATCCAAAAAGAGATGACTATGTTAAGAGTAAAAAAAAAAATCAATATTTGGAGATTAGGGGAGTTTTATGTTATACAGAAAAGCTGAAACTGTTATCTTTTAGAGAATAAAGAACACATTATTAGGCCTTCCTAAGTTTGCCTGTGTGACCATGCCTCTACCAACAATACTCTATATTCAGTACCACTATGATAATTTAGTTGATAAATGAAATGAAAATAAACGAAATGCAATGAAATGAAAAAATAGGCCAATGAAAATCAGTTGGACATCCAAATTGTTACTAGCTCTTATTTCCAATTAGAACAATTTTGTGTTGTTCATGCTTAGCTTCCCAAGGTAGGATTAAAGAAAAATAATTTCACTTAAGGTGAAACAGTGATAGGTGGGGTTGAGGGGGAAGGCTAGGGCCACAGTGATCATCCAGCAGGCAGGGCATTGCTTGGACACTGCTGAATGGGCTAGAGTCCCAGCATCACATAAGGTCCCCAAGCCCAGCCAGGAGTGATCCCTGAGCCTAGAGCTAGGAGAAAGCCCTGAGCAGTGCCAAGTGGCCCCAAAACAAAACCAAAAAAAAAAAAAAAATAATAAAGGTTAAACAGGGCTATAGCTCAGCCGCAGAACACATACGCTGCATACAAGTGGCCCTGGTTTTGATCCCCAGGACATTCCCTGGTCCCTATAGGAAAAAAGAAAAAAACAGGGTTTATATCCTGATAACTGATGGCCATATCAGGTATAGGATCCAAGGCCTCTCCTGTGACCCCATGCTCTTCCAGTGAGCCCCTTAACAACTCCTTACCTTAAGTTTAAGGTAGAAATTAGAACACTTGCTCTGGTCAAATATTATATAATTTGCAATTGCTATTTTATCTCTGCATTTGATTTATTCTAAAATCTCCTTGGCAATAAAGCATGTCTTAGATAAATGATAACATTCCAAGAAACTTATCCAGTGATTTTTAAAAAAATGCAATTCCATCTATGAAAGTTAAAAATAATAACAACACGGTGCTATGTAAACCGACCTGGGTCCATACGGAGGGGAAAAAGGGTGACCAAAGAAGTGTCTATATATATATCCATCCAACTTCTCAAATACTCCGTCATTATCTATTTGATACTCCTTCATGTCTTTAAGATAACCTTTCACATCATTAACAAAGTCTGTGAAAAGCTTCTGATCATGTATAAAGACACCATTGAGGAAAAATGCTGCAATGAATTGATCAAGTTCTTTCCAATGATGGAAACGCTCCAATTTTTCTAGTAAATACCTCTCAATCAACTTTCGAAATTCCTCGATTCTCACAGGATTCAACAGTTTGGCGTTGAAGAGGTTCATGGACTCCTGCCTCGCACACTCAGCGACACCAGAACAGGCCTTCCGGCGGGGCTCGAGGGTCTCACCACAGGCGCGCCGCTCGGCGCTGCATTTCTGCGAATTTGTACTTTTCATAAATTCTTCAAAGAGAGGAGACTTGACTTTCCTTCCCTCTCTTTCCATGGAAGGGCCTCTACTATGATGATTCTGAGTACGCGCCTTATACGAGGGGTACAGATACTCAGTAAAAACGGTTTGATCTTTAGCTCCTTCTTCTTTGGAATTGCCAACTTTTTTACTGACCTTTTCATCGAAGATGTTTTTGGTGGTATCTTTGAAATGCCTGAAGGTGGATTTGACTGAATCCGAGAATTTTTTCAGATTCTCTTTCACAGCTTCCTTAGCCTGTTTAATTTTTTCTTTGTGGTGCCGTACAAACTCTTTGGTAGAATTCTTCATGGCATCAAATGTCTCCTTAACAGAGCCCAAAAATGTTTCCTTTGACTTATTTTTAGCTCTGTGGTTTCCTCTGCTCCCTTTCTTTTTTCCATCCATTTCTTGTTTTCCATTTTGATCTTTTGCCTCAATATACAATCTTTCCCACAAATCAGAACGTTGCTGCTCAAAGTTCAGCTTCCGCTCCAGCTCTGCCAGCCTTTCCCGCAACGTTTCAATTTCCTTTTTTCCTTCCAGTCCACCCGGCGAGTCTGGGTCACCGTGGGCAGGCTGAGCACTTAACTGCTGGAGCTCCACCCTTAAGGCCTTGGTGAGGAGTCGCTCCCGCTCCATCTCCCGCCTCAGCATCTCGGCTTCTGCCAAGAGCGTCTCCTTCTGGCTAAGGAAGCTGCGTGTCTTCAGCTTTTCTTCTTCCAAATGCTGCCTAAGTTTCTGGTTTTCCGTAACTAACTCAGGACTTGTTCCTTTACCTTCCAGTACCCTAATCTGTTCTCTTAGTTTCCTTAACTCTTCCTGTAATGAAGACAGGGCTTTTTCTTCCTTCTCCAGAGAGAGCCGTAAGTGCTGGTTTTCTGTGTGAAGGTCCTTCTTCTGAGTCTCAAAGGACAGTTTCTCTCTCTCGGTAAGGGTCCAACACCTTGCCAGGTTTTCCTTCAATGACTAAAATTTTTTGAAAAAATAGAAAAAATGTTTATAAGATTATTTATGTATATTATATTATTTATAAACATTCAAATATTGGGAAAATTGGAGACAATGGTGGAGGGAAGATGTAACCGTGGTAGGATTGGTGTTGGAATATTGAATGTCTGCAACAAATCATCCTGAACAACTTTGTAAACCACTGTGTTTATACAATGTATAAGGGGAAAATTGGAAAAAATTAATTAAAAAACAAAATAAATCTTTAAGATATATACTCCATTATATCGTTAATGTCTACTTTAGCAGATGTGATACTTTATGTAGTATTTTCAATACAGAGAGTGGAAAATACAAGGTTTCATGTACAAGAGCAACAGACAGCAGAAAGCAAGCTGTGTCAAAGTAAGATCAGAGTGTGCTTGGGGAGTTTAAAGACGGAAAGTTCAGTTAGAGTTCAGTTTATCTCTAGTAAGATTTCAAAAATAGAGACAGAAGTACTTCTGAGAGAGTTTTCCATAACCAGGAATTTTTTTTTTCTTTTTTAGTCACACCTAGCAATGGTCAGGGCTTACTCCTGGCTCTGCACTTAGGAATTATTCCTGGCGGTACTTGGGGGACCACATGAGATGCTGGGAATCGAACCCGGGTTGGCTGCGTGCAAGGCAAACACCCTACCTGCTGTGCTATTGCTCCAGCCCCAGGAATTTTTTTTTTTAGTCATGAAATTCTTATTATCTTCCAGCCCAGTTAACAACTTTGAGGACAGGAGATGTATTCTCCTGAAGATAGTCTCCTCTGAGAAGACTATCTCCTCTCCTCAGACCGGAGGCAGAGACTGAGATAGAACACCTTTTGTAAAAAGTAACATTACAGCTAAAACTAAGTTTCAAGTCTCAAAAAAATACTGTTTGTTCATTGCACTCCTTTCCCTGTCAGTGGGTGTTTGGAGGCCCAAGTTTGATCCTGGCTCAGCAGAGTCCCTGAGCATGCCGAGTGTATGTTCCCTGAACAACACATGGGGGCAGAACAAAAACATTAAAAAAATGTTTTTTAATAGAGCTAGGAATATAGGAAGAGCTTAGTAGTGGAGCAATTGTCTTGCATGTGTGAGCGTCTGAGTTTGATCTCTGGGGACACAGGTCAAGGATGGCAGCCCACGATTTGCATGCGGAAGGCCAGAATTCAATCCCCACCATTACAGGGCACCCCAAGCACCACTAGGTCTTAGTACCGGGCCATCCAGCAAGAACAGCCAAAGTATCAGGAGTGGTTCAGGCCAGGAAAAGGGGCAGGGAGGAGTTTCTTCCAAAAACCCAATTAAGAATATCAAAGGCAACAGAAGCTGAGAGTTAAGCTCATCGACAGATTAACCGAACTGGGGCAGGGGGACATGCAGGCACTTTGGGACACTGGTGGAGGGAAGTGGGCACTCTGGCTTGGGGGTGTGGTGCTGGGAGGTGTGAAGCATCACTAGGGGCACTGGTAAATCACTGTCTCAATCCTAAATATTTGGGGGAAATATATATATATATATACATACATACATACATACACATATATATGTATATATATATCAGATACTATTCCCATGAGAAAGAAAAAAATTACCATTTGATTTAGCAATCAATTATTGATTTACCTAGCTATACTATAGTTATATATAAATAACACAATAACTTGGTTAAAAATTCTTAATAAAATGTTAGTAGTACATACCTCATAATCTATAAAAGACTCTTGTCCCTGTTGACATTGGGAAAGATAATCCTTCACGTCAATCAATTCATCTTCATGAACCTTTCTAACTAACTGATGCTGCTTCTGAATCTGAATTGTTCCTAAAGACAAGAGGTATAGGGATAAAACATGACTCACAAAACTTTTTAACAGAGTCAATCTAGTTACTGTACAGGCTTACTTCTTATTAATATTACCCCAGGTTTTTATATTATGAAAAGTTAATATAAGAGATAAAACTTTTATTAAATATATTTAATATTAAATGCACGGTAGCACTGTCCTCCCGTTGTAATCTATTTGCTCGAACGGGTACCAGCAATGTCTCCACTGTGAGACTTGTTATTGTTTCTGACATACCGAATATGCCACAATAGCTTGCCAAGTTCTGCCCTGCAGGCAGGATACTCTCGGTAGCTTGCCGGGCTCTCCAAGAGGGACAGAGGAATCAAATTCGGGTCGGCCACTTGCAAGGCAAACATCCTAGCATAGCACTGTAGCACTGTAACACTATCTTCTCGTTGTTCATTGATTTGCTCAAACGGGCCCAAGGTCATGTGGTTAGTGGGGTTTTAATACATTTTTAGATTAACATTGTATCACTGTCCAACTGGCTTTTATAATAAGGAAAAAAATAAGATAAACACTTCTCCTTTGTTACCTCCACACTGACCTGTGGGGGAAAAAATTATGCTCGAAAAACACTGATACATGTGCCCTGTATTTCAAGTCAAGTAACATCTCCATTGTGAGACTTATTGTTACTGTGTTTGGCATATCGAATAGGTCACCAGTAGCTTACCAGGCTTTGCCATGCAGGAGAGATACTCTCGGCAGCTTGCCAGGCTCTCCGAGAGGGGCAGAGGAATCGAACCCAAGTCAGCCACGAGCAAGGCAAATGCTCTACCCGCTGTGCTATTGCTCCAGCCTGCCCTAGCATAGCATAATACTAAATACAATGTAGCACTGTAGCACTGTCCTCCCGATTGTTCATGGATTTGCTCACTGATTTGCTCCAGTGGGCCCAGTAAAGTCTCCATTTATTTTTTGAGACTTGTTACTGTGTTTGGCATATTGAATAGTCACGGGTAGATTAAATACAATATAACATTAAATTGAAACAAAAGATTTTACTGAATATGAAACTAAAAATATAAATATTTTATTAATTATTAAAAAAGTAAATTTTATAAAAACCAAAATAACTAATAATTTCTTAATTTTGAAAGCACGTCTCTCTAAATGGTATTTCTACAAAACATTTCCAAGGTCATGTGGTTAGTGGGGTTTTAATACATTTTTAGATTAACATTGTATCACTGTCCAACTGGCTTTTATAATAAGGAAAAAAATAAGATAAACACTTCTCCTTTGTTACCTCCACACTGACCTGTGGGGAAAAAAATTATGCTCGAAAAACACTGATACATGTGCCCTGTAATTCAAGTCAAGTATTGTTACAACAAACCTAAAGGTAGGATACAAACCAAGAATTTAATATCTTCTTCCCCACGCCCAGATGAGACCCTGAGCTGCTGCCCACAAATGGCTCCTCCACTCCTGAATGGCCATGATCCCAGAGACACACAAACCAATCTCGGAACCCAAAGGCTTCTGGCAGATATTTCTCTGGACTTAATTACAAAAATACCAGAAATCCAAAATCACATGGCCAAGACCTCATATGCTCTTCATTATCAGCAATAAAAAACAAATTATCTAACGATGACTTTTTAGCAGGTCTGATTGTTGGGGAAAATTTTCAAATAATAGTGGGTCTTCTGTCGAAAAACTGAATGTAATCAAAGTAAAGAGAGAGTAAAGTGAAAATCATCTGCCACACAGGCAAGGGGAGGGGTGAGATGGGGTTCTTGGTGGAACACATGCACTGGTGAAGGGATGAGTGTTTGATCACTGTATGACTGAAACTTAAACCCGAAAGCTTTGTAACTGTTCTCACGGCGATTCAATTAAAAAAAATTTTTAAATCTTGGTATTAAATTCAAGTGATCATTCACTGAGAGTCTAAATAATTAATATAAAGTTAAATGCAAGAAATGCATTTTACTAGCCGACTAAACAAGTATTATCTTCATTAAGTTCACTCTAATATTGCACCGTTAAATGATGTCTTTCCCAAAAAAGCGTACACGTAATTCTTTAATCCTTGCACACACACAAAAATTCATCAACCAAATATATACCCCCAGTAAGAGTCAATATTTTGAAAAAAAAAAATAAATGTCTAAATCCTTAAGAGACTTGCAGAGGGCCTGGGATGTAGCTGAGCAGTTGAGTGCTTGCATGTACATGGCCCTGGGTTCATCCCCAGCACCACCAATTAATGAGAAAGATGAAATAGCAATTATCAATTTAAGCAAATGGCTTTGCATTGATAATATGTATAAAGACTAGTCTAATAGCAAAGTACAAAAAACAATGCAGGCATAAACACTGAAGCAGAACTGAGGTATTTAAATAATTCTATTAAAGTTGAAGTTAAGGGGCTAGAGTGATAGCACAGAGGGTAGGGAGTTTGCTTTGCAAGTGGCCGACCCGGGTTCGATTCCCAGCATCCCATATGGTCCCCCGATCACTGCCGGGAGTAATTCCTGAGTGCATGAGCCAGGAGTAACCCCTGTGCAATGCCGGGTGTGACCCAAAAAGCAAAAAAAAAAAAAAAAAAAAAAGAAAGAAAGAAAAAGAAAAAAGAAAAATAAATAACATTAAAAAAAAAATAAAGTCGCAGTTAAAACAATTTTATTCTTCACTAATGTACCTCATGGTGAGCATTCTAAACTTTTAATATTCTACTTATCTGGAAAAATTAAAAAGGTGCTAACAACCTTACATTTCTTTAAGCACTGCCACACTTTTCGCTCTCTTTTCTACATGAGAAAAACTGTGAACTTTTCAAGGTGAAGGATTTTGTTTCACTGCAAGATCCCAGACATCGTCACTCCACCTAAGAGCCTCTGTCCCACATCATTTTCGACCAAGCAGGTTTTCAGATCCTCACCATAGAAATGTCCGAAGCCCATGCTGACAGCAATCACCAAGGCCAGGACAACACATTTGTTGAGGCCACTGCTGAACTGGCGCTTACACGGCTCCGCTGACGGTTCCAGTTCCTGCTCAGCCAGCGGACGCTCTTCGTTGTCCAAAGCAGACAAGGGCTTCTTCTTAGCTCGGCGCCGCTTAAAGGCAGGACTAGGGTGATGACTGGCTTCATCACTGCTGGACTCATCATCGCTGGGCTGAGATGAAAATACTATTTTAAGAAGAAAAATATGAATAAACATTTAAGATTAGAGGGAAAAAAATCCCAGCAAATGATTTAGAATTAATCAGTGCCATAGCTTCATGCCTTTTTACACAAGACAGCCAAGGAACAAAACCAAAATAAAAACATTCAGGTTTTCGGGTTATAACAACATAAAGCCAAAGCACCAAAAATTTCTTTCACCTGTGATACACAAGAATCTGTAACCATATTCTGTGCCTTTGAGAACCTAACCTGGTGAACTGTTCTTTTGGTAAAACCTCTCAGAGTTGACGCCACACTCTTGCAACCTATGAAATCACTCGGCTTTGCTATCAAAGCCATAAATACTATTTCTAGAAGGAATGATCTCCATATCTTCAATTGCAAACAAGTAACTTAAGCTCAGCTTTTTAAGAGAAGTGTGAAAGTCCACAAGCCATTTCCTGAGACTCAAAATACAGTGAACTACAAAAACATGTCCTTGGATGTATTTGGTCCCAAACTTAATTTCCATCTTACGAGCTCACAACTGAAGTTCAAAGAAATTTTCAGAAGTCAGAAGAGTCCTTCCCCAGGACTGCCACTCTTACTAGATGGTTATTCATTTCACCTCTAGTAAATATTGTTGGCATGAGAAAGAAACAAAACAGCTATCTCTCATATTTTTCTCACTTTTTTTAAAGATTAAATCACTGAGAAAAAGCATTTACAAAGCTGTCTAAGCTATCTCCCATATTAAGAATTTAGTGCTGCTCCTTCATGAAAGAAGTAATGAAGAAAAGAAAATAGAGGGAGGAAATCACAAAATAATCTCATATACTAGAAACAGTCACTGGAAAAATCACCTTCAATTTTTCCAAACTCTATGTTGACACTGTTCCAGCATCAATGACCAGCATTGGTGATGACACAGATTAGATGAATCAGTATAAATTTCCACTGGTCTGTTAGAAGGAATTACTGAAAGAAAGGATAAAATGTGCACCCAAATTCAATGCCAGGAGCTCCAAACAACCAAGATCACGCTGCTCGAAAAAAGCACAGCAGGCTTCCCCAGGCAGTGTATCTGTGCCACAGACGTGGACAAGCATTCTGTGGCGAACACTCAGCAAACACCCACAATTGCAGCAAAACGCACAGAGGCAGCACTACTGCCCCATCTTTGGGGATGGAGAATCACCAGGACCTTTTGGTCAAAACTCCAGTGTCCATCAGACTTCTCTGGCTACTTCTGATCACTAGTGTTTTCCAAGCAGCCTCCTGTGGGATGTTATACTTCTTGGACAAAAGGAAGGAAGACTTAAAGTATGACAGACGCATTTGTGAACACATCTGGAACGTAGAAGTCAGGTTTTCTGACAGTATTAAGATGGACAGATGGAAGAACAAAACCACCTGCCAAATGCCTTCAGTACATTTTTAGTTCTACACAAATATATTAAGACAGGCCCAACCTGTGCTAATAAACGTGTATTGTCTAGCCAGTGTTTTCAGCTTTTTTTTTTTTAACCGCCAGGGAAGAGCGCATACACAAGTCTCTCACTCCTACAAATTCTGCAGTCTATTTACCCACATTTGGGAAACCTCAGGGGTCGGCACATCCCAAATGCAACCTATACCCTTACCTTGCGAAAACCACCTTCGTGATCATGGTATCTCCCCTGTCAGCTAAGCATCAGCTTTTTTCCTTTTTTTTTAACCAGTCATCCGATGGCTGTGGTATTTTTAAGCTTCTATTAAAAATTAATATAGCTCAACATCTAAGATACAAGCGATGCTGAGGCATGCAGTGGGCTCAGTCAGCTCATCACTCAACACACTGCGCACACCCTGAGCACTGCAGAGCCGTGTGCAGGCAGGCACGCCCGGCACAAGGAACGCTGCTCAGATGCAGTCACGGCACCTTGGCGAGAGCGCTGGCCAGGAGCACGGAGTTTCTGCGGGCCATCCCAGCCCCTGAGGCACTCAGGAACCTTCCACAGCTTCTCCCACCACGTCTCTTTTGTAAGTAAACAGGGGTAAAGACATATAAAGCTTCGTTATACAGAACAAAAAGAAAGAGAAGAAAAAAGACTCTTTTCATGAGCAGTTAACATTGCTGTTTGTGTACTACCCATCCCGAGCTAACTATCGTGAACAGTGCCAGAGAGAGAGAGAGAGAGAGAGAGAGCGCACAGCGCAAAGCACGCTTGCCTTGCAGGCAGCAACCTGGAGGGCCCCCCACGAACCTCCTGGGAGTGATCGCGTAGCACAGACCCAGGAGTAAGACCTGAGTACAGCCAGGTATGGCTCAAACAAACAAACAAAATGTTTTTTTTCCCCATGATATAAAAGTTTTAAATTAGTTTTTCGGGGGGCGGGGGGAAAAAGAAACAGTAAATCAAAGTATACCTCATATAACATTACTCTTATCTGAACCTATGAAAACTCCAACAAGTCAAAATTAAGAAAGGAGATAAAACTAGAAAAATATACCCTTAAATTCCTAAAAAAAAAAAAAATAATAACATATTTGATTGAACCTTTCTAAATTACTCCTGGTCTTAATTTGACCACCTTTTCAGACCCAGAGATATTATGAAATTAACCCGGCGAAGTACAGCAGGAAAGGAGCTTGCTTTGCACACTGACTAACCCAGGTTAAACTCTCGGACCCCATACGGTCCCCTGAGCCCCGCCAGACATAATCCCAAAGCAGAGTCAGGAGAAAACCTGTGCACTGCTAGGTCTGGACCCAAATCCATAATGTACTATTTCTAGAATATTAAAGTCTTAAGTCTAACATATTTCTTCTGTTACTCTTGAAAATCAGAAAATATGTTCAATAGGGCTGGAGAGGTAGTACCGGGGTTAGAGCACTCACCTCACTTGGAGCCAACTCAGGTTCGGCCCACTACCCCACACAGGGCCCCGAGTGGCCTCTGAGCACAGCACCAGGAGCAGCACGTGAGGTCCCCAAGTGTAGCCCAGCATCACCCCCCACCCTGCCCTCAAACGTGAAATGTATTCTGGAGTATGCGAAACATTCACAGTTCTCCTTTGAAGTTATTTCGTGTCTTTTACTTAATGCTGAGAAGGTAAGCAAAGAACTACTATGCCCAAGGATCCAGAACACAAGAGGGCACACGGTATGATAAATTTACAAGAAACTTCCTGAGTTTTGCCAGCAGATTCTCAACCTGAGATTTACGGTTGGGGAACCGGCCGTTAGGCGTCCTGTGACCTCCAGCTTCTCCACACCGCGCCCCAGGTGGCGCTTACCTGTTTCTGGCTGACAGAACGTGTACTGGCTGCTGGAGGAAGAGCCCATGTTGAGATCCTCTAGACTCGGCTCTTCCTTCATGGTCAGAGCTGCCTCCGAACTCCCAATTTCTTCTACTTTAGGCGGTTCAAGGGTAACAATATCAGAATCATCACTGATAGTTCCAAAATAGACATTATCCTCTAGAGACTTTTCTTCTTCTCCCTGAGAAATTATAAATTTTGAGACAGTTCCGTTTAGTAACTATTTGAAGGCCTTTTATTTTCTACACAGTTCCAAGTGTATGATGGTACTTAAGGAGTATGGGAACTTGGGTTGAAAATAAAAGATGAAAGATGAGGGCCAGAGCTATAGCGTGCAGGGCATTTGCACATGACTGACCCAGGTTCATTTCAGGCACCACATATAATCCCCTGAACACTTCCAGGAGAGATCCTTGAGCACAATATCAGGAATAACCACAGTGCATTGGTGGGTGTAGCGCAAAACCCCCAAAATAATAATAGTAAATAAATAAATAAAAGTCCTGCCCCACAGGAAATAATTACTTGATAGTAGGCTCATCTGTCGGTTTGAGGGGAAAAAAAAAACACAGCTTTCTTTGCAATTTTCTCAAGAAGTAACTCAAACTGCTACCCCCTTGTCATAGGATATAGAAAGGAAGAAACCTATCCTAATGACCAGAGAAAGGAAGACTCATTTCTCACCAGTTACACTGTGAAATTTGAGTGTAATTCTGTAACCTCTGAAAAACTGGATTAAATGTTCCGGGTTATGTATACAAATAAAATTCAGTAGCAAAGTCACATAAAGACCATCCAGAATATCTAGTTTTATCAGAAAGTCAAGTGAAACACTCAAGGTCAACATTTAATTTGTTCTCAAACATCCAAAAACTGCCATAAGACAAGGATAAACACCACCCATCTGTGGAGTCTAGACAGAACCAGAAAACAGACAGTATTGAACAACAACAAACTCTTGGCCTTGGGTTACAAAACTGAGCTAGAGGCAGTTGTAGGGAGGAGATGACTGCAGATAACATAGGTGTGACATGGGAGAGGGGGGATTAATCAGCAGTGATGGTGGTGCTGGCATTCGTAGAGTAACACTGTACATCAGTACCATAAACTGATGTAACATACGCCACCTAAACTGAATAAAAACATTCAATTGGGGCTGGAGCACAGTGGGTAGGGCATTTGCCTTGCACGTGGCTGATCCGGGTTTGATTCCCAGCATCCCATATGGTTCCTGAGCACCGCCAGGAGTAATTCCTGAGTGCAAAGCCAGGAGTGACCCCTGAGCATTGCCAGGTGTAACCAGGTGTAACCCAAAAAGCAAAACAAAAAATTAAACACACACACACACACACACACACACACACACACACAAAACCATTCAATTAAAAGTTTCAAAAGTTAGGCCCAGTAGCAATAGTACAGTGGGTAAGGCACTTGCCCTGCACAGCTTACCTGGGTTTGATCCCTGGAACCACATATGTTCCCCTGACCATTTGCAGGAGCGATCCCTGAGTGCAGAATAAGCCCAAAGCACTGCTGGGTGTGGTCCCCAAACCAAAAATAACAGTAATTAATTGATAACTTTTATGAATTAAGAGTTAAAACAGGGCTGGAGCAATAGCACAGCGGGTAGGGCGTTTGCCTTGCACGCAGACAACATGGCCAACACAGGTTCGATTCCCAGCGTCCCATATGGTCCCCCGAGCGCCGCCAGGAGCAATTCCTGAGTGCATGAGCCAGGAGTGACCCCTGAGCATCGCTGGGTGTGGCCCAAAAAGCAAAAAAAAAAAAAAAAAAAAAGAGTTAAAACAAATGCTACTTTGGATCCTTGAAAGTACCAGTCTGTGAAATCTCAACATTTTCAATGAAAGTTGTTTATAATTCAAAGAGGAAAAGAAAGGACAATGGGGAGTGGCAGCTTTTGTTAGTATTGCTAAGGAACACTGTTTTACATGCATCTACAGAATAAATCCCATGCTTACCTCAAATGCTGGCTTCATTTCCTCCAAAGATGGATGAGCAACTCCTCCCATCAGCACCGCACCGCTCCGGCCAGCCTCTGATAGTAAGCAGAGATGAAGAGCCTTTGGTCTACACATACAACAATCTGGGTGCATAAACTGCATTTCAATGTTTTACATGAATGTGTGAAAATGTCAACAAAAATTATTTAGCACTCTCCTGTTGCTAAAAAGGACTATCTGAAATTATCTGAAATTCTTGGAGAATATAAGTTAACAAACTGATTTCATTTATGATTTAAAAAAAAAATGCAAGCTCTGAGTAAGATAATCTGTACCTTACAATATCAAAGTCCTTCATCCATCCAGTCTCTGAGAAATCTCAATACAGAAAATCAGTTCTTAGCTATCAGGTGGCTTATTTCCCAAATTATTAAAACTTATTATTCAAAATTCCTAACTGATGACTAGCAATGCTTAATAACACCAGAATAACAACTTCATTTCAAAATAGAAAATCTTCTCAAGCTCTGGGACTGCACCCAATGGTTCTCTGGACTATCTACTGCTCGCTGCTTAGGGTCACCCCACCCCATCACTGAAGGAACCATCAAAGGGCAGGGATCAAATCTATGCCTTCTGCATGCAAAGACACAACCCAGTTTGTTGAACTTACTCTCCAGCCTCCAAAAGACATTTTTGTTAGTTTAAAAATAGGTTATAAGAAAGGGGGGAAAAGACTCTAGGGCCAGAGAGATTGTGCAGCAAGTAAGGCACTCGCCTTGTACTTGGCCAACCCTAGTTGGATCCCCAGCACCACATAAGGTTCCCTGGGCACCGTCAGGAGTGATCCCTGAATCAATAGCCAGGAGTAGGCCCAAAAAACACAAAAATGGAAGACGGTAAAACAAGGGCTAGCTTAAAGAAAAACATAAAACAAAATTCACTACAGCTTAAGGATATGTTATACAAAACTCACTAGGACCAAGAGATAGAACAAAGGGTAAGGTGGTTGCCTTGCAATCAGCCAACCTGGGTTCGATCCCCAATACCCCATATGGTTTTTTGAACCCCTGTAGAAGAGACCCCTGAACACAGAGCCAGGAGTAAGCCCTGAATGCTACCAGGTATGCCCCTCCACCACAACAATAAAAAATATTTTTTCTATTTTCTTAATGAGAAAAAATGAACTAACATGAATTTTAATTCATTCACTTTGGTTTCAGTCTACCGGTGCTCAGGGCTTCCTCCTGGCTCTGCACTCAGAGTCACTTGCTGGCAGGCTCAGGGCACCATGTGCAGCCGTGGGGAACAAATTGTGGTTGGCCCTGTGGTCGGCCCAAGGCAAGAGCCTTGCCTGCTATTCTACTGCTCCAGTCTCCCACTATTTATATTTTACTTTTTAATAAAGAAGCTAAGCATCAAATGCTCACAGAACTTAGAAATACATAGAAACTAAATTTATAAAAGACAAAGAATACATGCCAGATGTTTATAACCACTGCCTTCAGACCAGCAGAATCTCATGGTTAAGACTGGTTTGGGGTCTGGGGAGACAGTGCAGAGGGCTGGGGCGCATGACTTACATGTGGGAGGCCTGGATCTGATACGTGCCACCACCAGGAGTGACCTCCAGACCACACTGGGAGTAGCTCCAGACAGTTCGCAAGTGTCACAAGACATTCCCTCCCGCTACCCCCACACCTCCTCCCCCACCCACCCACACACACAGATAAAAACTTCTGGGGGTTCAAGTAAACCCTTGGTGGTGCAGTTCAGTTCCAAAGCCCCTGTTTTACATGTGTGAAGCCCGGCATTCAATTCCCACTACCACATACAGAACAAAAAATATATAAAATGAAATCCTCCATCTTCCAGTAGGCAGGGGTCACACCCACCAACTGCCCACGGGGCCAGGTAATCCCATCAACGGCCAAGACCCAGAGACTATAAAACCCAGCTCCCAGAAGTGCGTGGCCGCGACATCTTATTATCTCATTCTTGCTTTGGACAACCTGGCAGGCTACCGAATGTAACCTGCCCACACGGCAGAGTCTGGCAAACTCCCCGTGGCCTTCCCTATATGCCAAATACCAGTAACAATGATGGGTCTCATTCTCCTAACCCTGAAAGAGCCTTGAATATGGCACTTTTTAAAATCTCAGGGCTAGGACGAAGGAGACGTTACTGGTGCCTGCTCGAGGCAATCCACGAACAACAGGATGATCGTGATCATGAAATATAAAATAGTATTAATTATTTGGGTATCTCCCCCCACTTTTTTTGTTTTGTTGTGTTGTTTTGGGGCCAAACCCAGCAGTGCTTGGGGGGACCAAAAGGGATGCTGGGGATCGAACCAGATAGGCCAGTGCAAGGCAAGCGTCCTCCCCACTCCAGTATCACCCCAGACCTTCACACTTCCCCACGTAATTCAAGTCAGCATCAAACACCAAAGCTGGCACATACACAGTGACACAATTCAGTGGTAAAATGGCATTCACCGACCTAGCCAAAGCACTCAGAAAGGAGACAAAGACCAGAAAAGCAGTGGAGAAACTCTACATGGAGCTGGAGTGACGGTGCAGAGGGCAGGGCTTGACTCGCCGGAAGCAGCAACACCAGGTTTGATCCCTGCGATCCAGATAGTCCCCCGGCACTGCCGGGAGTGATCCCAGAGTACACAGTGAGGAGTCAGCCCTGAGCACCGCAGGGTCTGGCCCAGAAACAAAACAAAGAATTCCTATGTAACAGATAAATAATTTCACATATTCCTCTAGTTCATCAAGGTTGATAAGATTTTGTTACCAATCACACACATCATAGTGAAGAGTTAGAAGCTCACGTGTAGTACAGGCACCAATGAACCAGCTTCCGAGCAGATGATGGCAGTGGTTCTGTACCACTGTGCCCAGGCAGGCTAACGGTCTCATCTCCAAAGACCCGACCATTAGCCAGCTAGGCTGCTCACCTAGAAAGAAGGCAAGAGCCATCACCATCATTTCAAACTCCCAACAATCAGGCATCTGGAACACCTTACCTTCCTGTTCCAACTGCAGCCCTTGCATCTGCTCCTGCCCTACAGGTGACGTATCCGGAGCGAGCTCAGAGGTGCTGCTGCCTGGGCCATGTTCAGAATTCACCATCTCTATGTCAGACCCCTGGGGAAGAGTGAGCACCACATGTATGTTAGCGACTCAAAACTGGATTTGACTCCCCAGATACTGTCATACACCAAAGGAAGAATGTAAAGTTGTTCAAGCGAGCACAAAGCCTCTGGTAGGGAACAGCAGGCTGGAGTCACAGATTTCAACTCTGAGAGGAAGCATCCCACTGAATGCCCTAACTGTTCTAGTTTATAAAGTCTACACAACAAATCTGAACACAGGCTAAGTTTCTCTACTTACTATGTCTATTAATTTCCCTCTACTAAACATTTATGCAATTGCTCTGAGCAAGGTGTTCTCCTAGTTCTTATGAATTAAGAATTAAGAATCGGAATCAAGGGGCCAGAATGATAGCACAGCGGGTAGGGCGTTTGCCTTGCATGCACATGACCCGGGTTCAATTCCCACCATCCCATATGGTCCCCCAAGCACAGCCAGGAGTAATTCCTGAGTGCAAAGGCAGGAGTAACCCGAGCATTGCTGGGTGTGACCCAAAAAGCAAAAAAAAAAAAAATCGGAATCAAGCAGCCATATACAGCAATTACAGCAGGGGCTGGAGAGATAGTACAGAGGGTAGGGAACTTGTCTTTCACACGACCGACCTGGGTTTGATTGCCAGCACCTCATATGGACCTCCTGAGCCCGCCAGGAATGATTCCTGAGCACAGAGTCAGGAGTATGCCATGAGCACTACAGGTGTGGCCCAAAATCAAAAACAAAACAAAACAAAAAGGCAATATATAAAAAATACTTCAGAGTGAAGATTACAACTAACCCATTAAGGGCAGAGTGACAGTGACACGAGAGTGCAGCTGGTAGGGCTCCTGCAGTGCACGCTGCTGGCCTGGTTCCACCCCAGCTTCCCATGGGATCCCCAGAGCATCGCCAGGAGTGACCGCCAAATCAGAGCCAGGAGTCAGCCCTGAGCACTGCAGGTGTGGCCCCAAATCCAAAGAAAGAAAGGAAATGAACCCATTAGAGTAATAAGCTTTCCTGATGAAAATTTTAGACTGCTGTCCTCTTTACTGCTGCAAGACTTTCCTTCCAACTTTGATGACAAACTACCTTTAATAAAATAATGATTCTGAGCGGGTTCCCCCTGGCGTCTTAATTAAGGAAATAAAGTCAACTACTGAGTTGATTTTCCTCACTCTACCCACTTCATGCCACTATTTGTTTTTAATTTTTTTGAATTTTTCAATCACCGTGAGATACAGTTTCAAAGCTTTCACGTTTGAGTTTCAGTCATACAATGATCGAACACCCATCCCTCCACCAGTGCACATTTTCTACCACCAATGTCCCCAGTATAACCCCAACACACATCCCACCCCTCCCCCTGCCTCCATGACAGACAATTTTCCCTATACTCTCTCTCTACTTTTGGGCATTATGGTTTGCAACACAGATACTGAGAGGCTGTCACATTTACTTCTTTATCTACTTTCAGCACACATCTCCCATCCCGAACAATCATCCCTCCAACCATGCTTGACTTAGTGGTCCCTTCTCTATTCCAGCTGCCTTCTCCCCCAGCTCATGAGGCAGGCTGCCAACCATGGAGCAATATTCCTGGCCCTTGTGTCTACTGTCCTTGGGTATCAGTCTCATGTTATTTTATATTCCACAAATGACTGCAGTCATTCTATGTCTGTCCCTCTCTTGTTGACCCATTTCTGTTTTTGTGTTTTTGTTTTTTGTTGTTTGTGGGTTTTTTTTTTTTTTTTTTTTGCTTTTTGGGTCATACCCGGTGATGCACAGGGGTTACTCCTGGCTCTGCACTCAGGAATCACTCATGGAGGTGCTGGGAGGATCATAGGGGATGCTGGGAATCAAACCTGGGTTGGCTGCATGCAAGGCAAATGCCCTACCCGCTGTGCTATTGCTCTAGCCCCTGATTCATTTCACTTAGCATGATACTCTCCATGTCCTTCCATTTATAAGCAAATTCCATGACTTCATCTTTTCTAACAGCTGCATAGTATTCCATTGTGCAGATGTACCAAAGTTTCTTTAACCAGTCATCTGTTCTCGGACTCTCCGGTTGTTTCCAGATTCTAGCTATTGTGAACAGTGCTGCAGTGAACATACAGGTACAGCTGTCATTTCTACTGTGCTTTTTTGCACCCTCAGGATAGATTCCCAGAAGTGGTACTGCGGGGTCATATGGAAGCTCAATTTCTAGTTTTTGAAGGAATGCCCATATTGTTTTCCAAAAACATGCCACTATCTTAATTTTTCCTCCAGTTTACCGATCCATGAAATAGAAAGGCCTATGTTTCTCTCTCTCTCTCTCTCTCTCTCTATATATATATATATATATATGTATACATTCACACATATAAGTAAAGTAAGTAAAGGCCCTCCCGTTGATCACCGATTTGCTCGAGCGGGCCCAGTAACGTCTCCATTGGAGACTTTGTTGTTACTGTGTTTGGCATATCGAATACGTCACGGGGAGCTTGCCAGGCTCTGCCGTGCGGGCGAGATACTCTCGGTAGCTTGCCGGGCTCTCCGAGAGGGGCGGAGGAATCGAACTCAGGTCGGCCATGTTGGCTGTGTGCAAGGCAAACGCCTTACCGCTGTGCTATCGTTCAGCCACACATATAAATATATAAAAATATATTGTATATTTATATATTATATATATTATAGATTTATGTATGTTTGGTTTTATATATAAATATATATGATTCACTATATATACATACATATTTGCTATATGCGTACATATAGCAAAATATATACATATAATACATATCACTCAAGTAGTCTAAGTAAGTATGAAAGACTGGAGGTTTGCATTATTCCACCCTCAAGATAATTCTGAATTTAGGGTCAAGATCGGAAGGAAAATTTTAGAAAAAATTTTAGGAAAAAAATTTTCCTTCAAGATTGGAAGGAAAATTTTGCTGAACAAAGATAAAGATTGAACTGGTGATTTCAAAGCAAAACTGTTCTGGGCCAAACAAGAACTGTGAAATAGGAAAGGAGAAAAATGCAAAAGATAGGAGAGAGGAGTGCAAAAGGCCATAATGAGAGAGAGAGAGAGAGAGAGAGAGACAGAGACAGAGACAGAGACAGAGACAGAGACAGAGACAGAGACAGAGATTGAGAGAGAGAACTTGGTAACTATTCATGGAAGGGGAGGAGTGCTAACATAACAGTTTCAGACAAAGCCTAGCTATTAACAGCTCCCTCCCAATGGCAGGCCTTTGCTGGCTACATCCCTGGCTTCGAGGCCACCCCACAGACCTGTGAGCCCATTTCCCAGGCCAGCCCCAGCCCCAGCCCCAGCCCCAGCTGCCCTGTTCTCAGACTGTTAATTATCCTCAAAAGAGAAGATGTGGTGGGGGGGGGGGGGGTGGTGTTGATCTAAGCTTTGTAGAAAACAGGTTAAAAATAGAAAAGTCACTTATGGGGAAAAAAAACTGAATCTCAATTGAAACAGCTGCTATCAAATTCAGAAACTTTGAATGCAGAAAAAAAGCACTTTTTTTGTTAATGTTTTCTAACAAATGATCTGAATTAAATGATCAGAGTAACTGCAGAAGATGACTTTTACTTTTTAAATATATATTACTGGAGGATACCATTTCACCAAAACTCTTCAGTGCCACCCTCGAGAACATCATGCGACGACTAGAATGGGAAAACATGGGAGTGAAGATAGATGGTCGGCAACTACACCACCTCCGCTTTGCTGATGACATCGTTCTAATAACACCAAACATCAGCCAAGCGGCACAAATGCTTGCGGACTTTGACCGTGAGTGTGGAAAGGTCGGACTACAGCTGAATCTTACGAAGACAATGTTTATGAGAAACAGCCTTGTTCCTGACGCTCCATTCGCTCTCAACGGAACCACCATCTCCGAATGCAACAGTTATATATACCTAGGTCGAGAAATCAACATGATGAATGACCTGGCACCTGAGTTACGCAGGAGGAAGAGAGCGGCTTGGAATGCCTTCAAGAGCATTGAAGAAATAACTAAAAGGACAAAGAACCTCCAACTACGAGCACATCTCTTTGATTCCACTATTCTTCCTGCATTAACATATGCCTCAGAGACCTGGACCCTACGAAAACAGGATGAGAACACTATTCGGGTCTCTCAAAGAGGAATCGAAAGAACTATGCTTGGAATATCACGATTCACTCAAATGAGAGATAGAATCCGGAGTTCTGATCTTCGTCAACGCTCAAGAATCAGGGACGCTGTCTCATTTGCCAAGACATCAAAAATCAGATGGGCTGGACATGTAATGAGGTTTACAGACAACCGCTGGACTAGAGCCATTACTGATTGGATTCCACGAGACATCAAAAGATCACGTGGACGCCCACCTATAAGATGGTCAGACTTCTTCGTCAAGACCCTAAATGATCGGTTTGAGGCTCTACATGTTCCTAAAACGAACAGATACCATTGGGCTACGCTAGCACGCAACCGGGATGAATGGAGACGTTACTGGCACCCGCTCGAATAAATCGATGAATAACGGGGATTAAGTGATTAAGTGATAAGTGATTACTGGAGGAAAACAAATGAAAGAAACTAGGAATATTTTGTGATAGGCCCAAAAAGTAAGTGAGATTCTCTCGTGCTTTTTGCTGGTTTGCTTTAACACCAGTTCTGATAGTTTCGCGTTACATAAACACAGTTGAAAATGACTTAACCTCTGTAAACTTTGGTTTGCTCATCTATGAAATAAGAATGAAAACGAGCTATCCCTTGGAGCTTTACATAAAATACGAGAAGGCAGGCAAAGCACCGGATGGAACCAGTAATTATAAATCCTCAACAGAGTCTACTAATTATGTATGCAACTGTCGGGTGCCAACCGGGTCTGAGGCCCTGAGTAAGGTCAGCTGAGACCAGGCAGGGCTTGGCCTCAGTCAGGGAACCCTCAGTTCTGAACCCATCCTGGTTATATGGAGCAATTTTTCTTTTTCTTAAAAGTAACCAACTGTGGGCTAGAGCAATAGTACAGTGGGAAGGCATTTGCTTTGCATGCGGCCAACCCGGATTCGATCCCCAGCATCCCATATGGTCCCCTGAGCACCACCAGGAATAATTCCTGAGCCAGGAGTAACCCCTGTGCATCATAGGGTGTGAACCAAAAAAAGCCAAAACAAAAAAAAAAGTAACTAACTGTTAACTGTGATGAAATCTCTCTCTCTCCCCCCCCCCCCCTCTCTCTCTTTCTCCTTTCTCTCATACACACACACACACACACACACACACACACACACACACACACAATCTCCAAATATCTCATAGCTGGGGCTGAAGCAATAGCACAGAGGGTAGGGCATTTGCCTTGCATGCAGCCGACCCAGGTTCGGTTCCCAGCATCCCATATGGTCCCCTGAGCACTGCCAGGAGTAATTCTTGAGTGCAGAACCAGGAGAAACCTCTGTGCATCACCGGGTGTGACCCAAAAAAACAAAACAAAACAAAACAAAAAACAAATATCTCAAAGCTGAGATTACACAGAACCATAAAGATTAATATGGGAAAATAGCCAACAAACAATAGAAACTTATGCTCCAATGAAGACAAATACTGATCTTCAATGCACTGAACATGCACCACTGCCCACACTCAAATACCACCAACTGCCTTATAAAAAGTCTTAGGGCACATACCTCATGATTGATGACAGTCCAGCCACAAGATGAGTCGCTGTCACTGGAATTTTCAGACATGTTTCAACGTCTACAAATACAAAAACATACGGACATTTGGAACACACTTTTAAACATTCCACAGGTGACGCTTAAATATGAAAAGTTGGGCTGGGGCTCAGTGGCAGAGCATATCATGCCTTGTTTGTGTGAGGCCCCGCATTCAATCCCCGGCATCTCACCCCATCCCCCACTCCCAAATAAAACCCAGTATTAACTGCTGCCTCCTGGGTAACACTGAAACCACTTGCCCCACTCCCAGGACTTGGTCATGCAGGACATCATGACAGCATTCCCACAACAGTGAGGGGGCCAGAGCAACAGTACAGTGAGCAGGGCACAAGCACTGTGCCACGGCCCCCAGCACCTTACATGGACCCCATCCTGCCGGAGTCAGTCCTGAGTGCAGAGTCAGGACTAAGACCTGAGCGCTGCCCAGTATGGCCACAAAATCCAAAACCAAAGCCAAACAGACAAAAAACCTAATAATACAAACTGCCTTATGACAAGAATATCCTCCCGGCCAAGAACAGTCTACCCAGCTGTGTTAAGATAAAGAACACTGGTCTGAAAAAGGGAAAAAAAAAAGGGGGGGCAGGATTTGGACAGGCAGTGTTGGCAGGAAGGAGACCCAACTGAACTGAGAGGAAGCTGCCCAGGGAGCAGACGGGCCTGACTTCCAGGCTCAGAGCCTCCGGTGCTCGGTGAGAAAGGTGCGAAAGGGGTGGCTGAAGCGCCAACATCGCACAGTGAGTCAGAACAAATTCCACTGTGCCACCAATGTGAAACTAGCGAGATGTTTCAATCACAGAAGAGACATGATTCAAGTTTCTATAAGAAGAACCATGCCAGGGACCAGAAAGATGGCTCCATGGGTTGGCCACAGGCTTCTCAAGCAAGGGGCCAAGGTTCAGTCAATGTCCAGCTCTGCATGGTCCCCTGACTCTCTGCTGGCAAGGTGGGGCGTGGCCAGCCCTGAACACGAAACCAGGAGTAACTCCTGGGCACCACCAATATGGCCTTGAACCCAGTAATCCTAATAATACAATAACTGCAATGATAGTAACGACTACCATTACTAACAACAACCCAACACATCAGCAGTGCGTGGGCGGAACTAGAACAAGAGTCAGAGTCAGGGCTGAGCAGGACACTGGTGCTTCTGCCCTTTCTGTCTGAAGGCCGACTACACCATCAGACCGAGCTGATGAAGCGAACACTAGCAAGCAATCCACTTCCCGACACGGGAGCCCAATGCCTGCTTCTGCTGCTGCACACAGGAGCACAAACTGTGCCTAAATGCCAATGTAGAGCAAAACTCCCAGCATGGATGCTCTTGTCCATTAACATGAGGATGACTTTTGCTTGAGTTTGTTTGGGTCACACCCAGTGACACTCCGGGGTTACTCTGGGATCTGCACTCAGGAATTATTCCTGGTAGTGCTCGGGGGATCATATGGGACACGAGGAATGAACCTGGGCCGGCTGCATGCAAGGCAAGTGCCCTACCTGCTGTACTATGGCTCCTGTGTATATAATTTGTCGGGGGGCCTCACACGTGCAAGGCAAGTGCTCGACTATGAGTCATATCTCCAGGCCCCGAGCTGGTATTTCAGAAAGAAGTAGAGATGAAACAGAGGTAGCTGATGATGACTGACATTAGAAAAATGAACACTATTTTTTTGTTGTTTTGTTTTCTTTTTGCTTTTTGGGTCACACCCGGCGATGCACTGGGGTTACTCCTGGCTTTGCACTCAGGAATTACTCCTGGTGGTGCTCGGAGGACCATATGGGATGCTAAGAATGAACCCGGTGTGGCAACATGCAAGGCAAGCGCTCTACCCACTGTACTATCGCTCCAGCCCTGAACATTCTCAAATTATTTAAAATCTAAAATGAGAGGGCGATGACTGATACTATGACTTTTAATGTCATACTAAAACATTTTCTAGGACATGCACATAAGCCAGCTGATGTTTGATTTCCCATTCACCACTGATCAGACTGATCAGAGTCCAGGCAGTTTTCAATTGTATAAAAGTTGGGGATAGGGGACATGAACAGACACATCTATAGCATGTTCCAACATGTTGGGTACTACTTGCCTTGCGTGTGACTGACCAGGTTCAATCCCCAGCACTCCATATGGCTCCCCAAGTCCCACCAGGAGTGATTTCTTAGGACTGAGCCAGAGTAAGTTCCGAGCACTGCCAGATGTGGCCCCAATCCAGAAGCTCAGCTTAGCGGAAGCCAAGCCTCCTGGATGAAAAGCATACCCTCCAACCCATTGAGCTATCTCCTAGCTTTATAACTCTATAGCACTGCAGCACTGTCCCTCCCGTTGTTCATCAATTTGCTCTAGCGGGCACCAGTAATGTCTCCATTGTAAGACTTGTTACTGTTTTTGGCATATCGAATATGTCACGGAGCTCTATTAAAAGTAAAATTACACGCCCTCTCCTCTCTGGAAAGAAAGATGGTGGCCGCATGGGAGCCTGGTGGAGAGCAGGTCTGAGCCGGGGGTGGGGGCGCGATAGGTACCTCATGGGACGGGGGGGGGGGGGGGGCCTCTGGCCCGTCCTTCACACCTGACCGAGGTCACCAGTTGCCCCCCACGAGTGGCTCTCCAGCACGGCCACGGCCCCAGAAGCACAGAGACCAATCTCTTAATTATCTGACTCTCAGTAGAAATACTTTCAGGGTTAATAAATAAAATAGCAGAAATCCAAAACCGCGCGGCCGCAATAGCAGCCGCGCGATATCATTTAATTCTTGAACCCAGCTGTAGAAAGCAGATCATTTCACAATGCTTTTTCAGTATGGCTGAGTTGGGGGAGGGGGGGTAAAGTCTAAATAATAATGGTGCAACTGTTATCAAAACAATGAAGCTAGTCAAAGTAGACAGAGTGCTAACTAGAATTCATCTACCCCACAGACAATGGGGGGGGGTTGGGGGGGGGCTTATTGGGGTTCTTCGTGGTGAAAAGTAAGTATTGGTAAAGGGAATTGTGATTGATATTTGCATGACTGAGACCTAAACTTGAAAGCTTTGTAATTTTTCCCACAGCGATTCAATAAATAAATAAATTAATAATTTTTTAAAAAAAGTAAAATTACAAAACATCTATTAAGATAACACTTCTCTGGCCAGGAGAAATTATCCCAAAGATAATAATTTTGCAATTCTAAGATAGGATATATATGTATATATATATTTTTAATTGAATCATGGGCTGGAACGATAGCACGGCGGTAGGGTGTTCGCCTTACAAGCGGCCAACATGGCCGACCCGAATTCCTCCGCCCCTCTTGGAGAGCCCGGCAAGCTACCGAGAGTATTCCATATGCCAGACACAGTAACAGTAACACGTGGGATAGTTACAAGCTTTCACGTTTGAGTTACAATCACACTATAATCAAACACCCATGCCTCCACCAGTGCACATTCCCCACCACCAATCTCCCTGGTATACCCCCCCCACACCCGCCTTTCTCCCCCTGCCTTCATAGCAGACAATATTCCCCATACTCTCTACTTTTGGGCATTATGGTTTGCAATAAGTATAGGATATTCACCAACTTTACATCTTAGCAATTTCATTTTATCATTTCTCATTGACTACCCCCCAAAACCAGTTTTTCATTGAAACCATTTTTACACATTAAAGAAGGCTTGATGTTCTTTTCATACTTCAATTCTATATCAATTTGAAAATTATGGGTTGACACATGGGTCAACACAGAGACCATAAAATTAACTCTGCAGGAGAGAAGAGCTGTCAAAGGCTCGCATCAGGGCAGTGCAGTGCTTCGCACAACAGGCCTGGTACATGTTTTCTAACTGGAAGGAAATCCCAAGCAGCAAAAGCAGCAAAGAGAAGGGAGAAAGCAGAGGTGAAAGTTGTAAGAAAGGTAACCCAGGGGTGGAGCTATAGCACAGCAGGCAGGGCGTTTGCCTTGCACGCGGCCGACCCAGGTTGGATTCCCAGCATCCCATATGGTCCCCTGAGCACCGCCGGGGGTAATTCTTGAGCGCAGAGCCTGGAGTAACCCCTGTGCATCGCAGGGTGTGACCCAAAAAGCAAAAAAAAAAAAAAAAAAAAGCAGCCCACCTAGCATGAATGAAGTGATTCAAAGACAGGATCTTGGCCACTCGCATTAAGATTGTCACACAGCTGATCCGGTTCAACTCCAGCACCCCATGTGACCCCCTGACCCCTGCTAGGAGGGACTCCTAAACGCAGAGCCAAGACCTACCCCTGAATATTGCCGAATGTCGACCCAAAATGAAAATATGTAATTTTTAAATTTTTTTACTTTTTTTTAATTTTAATTTTTTTCTCCAAATTTTCATGATTATGTTTCAATCAAACAATGTTCGAGTACCCATCCCTCCACCAGTGCCCATTCTCTACCACCAATGTTCCCAGTGTCCCTCCCGCCCCCTGCCTCTGTGGCAGACACATTCCCTCTTACTCTCTCTCCCCTTTGGGTATCATGGTTTACAATATAAGCACTAAGCAGCCATCATGTTTGGTCCTTTATCTACTTTCAGTACACATCTCGATCCCTCCAACCCTCATTTGCTTAGTGGTCCCTTCTCTATCTCAGCTGCCTTTTCCCCCAGGACATGAGATCGGCTTGCAACCCTGGGGGATGATCCTCCAGGCCCTTATCTCTCTCTACTAGCCTTGGGTGTTATTCTCCTATTCTGTTACTTTATATTTCACAGATAGGTGTCGTCATTCTTTGTCTGTCCCACTCTTTCTGACTCATTTTGCTCAGCATGTTATTTTTAAATAAAGAGACTAAACATGAATCTTTCACGGGGTTTATATTAAGATGCAGAAACAATTCAAAAAGCCTCAACCAGAAAGCGAGGAATCATCAAAGCAATAAACAGTCAATGGAAAAATGAGTACCGACACCTAATTGCTTTGTCTGATGAGGAAAAGATCAGGAGAGGCTTGAAGATATTTAAAAACACATGATTTTTTTTTATAGGATTGAATAAGCAAATAGAAAAGTATA